TCTTTTGCAGTCAAGGTACCCCTGGAAAGCTTTGTTGCCTTTTACATCCGTTGCCTGTTGCAACTATGGTTGTACTTTGGCTTTCCTAGTTTTATCTCTTAATGCCTAGGCAGTACTTCTGTGTTCCTCCTTGGTCATCTGATCCTGCTTCCACATCCTGTCACTTCCTTTTGTGTTTGAGCTCAGTCAGCAGTTCCAGGTTCATCCAAGTTGGCCTTCTCCCATGCTTGCATGTGTTCTAGCACATCAGAATTGTTCTGGATTGAGAAGATTGTCCTTTTATATTTGCCACCCATCCTCAGTTCCTGTGCCTCAAAAGGCAGCTTTCAAGGGATTTTGCCTACCAGATCTCTGAGCAAGCTGGAGTTTCTTCTCCTGACCTCTCCAGGGTTGTTTAGTCTGCTGCATCCCTCCTCAGGTCCCTGAGGATCTTTAGCTTCACCATCTCACAGCTGCTGGAGCCAAGTTTCTTTGACTACTAAACATAGACAGTCCTTCCTTGTTTGTGAGTTGTGTGACCAAGAGCATCTTCACTAGCTGACCAGTCCAGAACCTGTGTCAAAGAAGTCTTAGTCAAGAAATTTGCTGGATTGCTTGTGTCCCGCTGTATCACCCTTCAGGCAAGGGCTGGGGTAGTAAAGTCCTTAGTGAGAATCAGGGCTTGATATAATGAGACTTCTACCACATGTTTGAGTACAGTCCTCACTTTAGACTAGGACTTATAAATAACTCTTAATTTTAAAAGATATATCTTATGATTTAGGATGTCTGAGGTGACTAGAGAATGGAAAATCATACCAGGAAAATATTATTGATGCCTGCCTGTTCTTACTCTCTTAGTTGGGTATGCACCATTTCTGACAGAGAAAGGAAACAGAGGCAGACATGCCTTCTGCTTTGGCAGAATATGGATATTCTTATTTAATGACTAGCAGGGTATTAGCAGTGCATATGAACTCTGTCTTATCTGCTGTATTTTTAAAAAATAACTGAGATTCAGCTTTGCTGAGTCATTTCTGTGTACCTGAATGGGGCCTCTTATGGGCTGAGTTAGACCTTATTGGCTCATGTTATAGTTTTGAATCTGTTACAAATTATTTCAGGCTTAAAAGGCATCTGACCTCACTCTGCCTAAATTGTGGGGGGAGGTTAAAAACCAATGTGTATAGCTTTCATCCTTATCATTCTCCTTGAGTCTGTAAATCACCAAAGGCAGCAATTCCTTTAGCAGAAAAGGGGATAAAAGAGTAAAAGGTAGTAGAATGTTTTTATAGATTGAAAAATTTTGATTTATTTTCAGGTGTGCTGTTGGCACGCTAAGCAAATCTGGTATGTTGTAGAGTGTGTGCAGTTCATTTTTTAGAAGAGGTATATAGTAAAATACTATTTTAATTGCCCTGTACCCCAAAATTTTAGAAAACTAATCACAACATACTTCTGGTTAACTGCAGCCTAAATAGGCTAATAAAACTTTTTTGTTTTTTCCACAGTCAGACTGCTATAATCACTAGTGTCTATCCCATCCAGCAAATTTAGGACCCATCTCTAATTATTCTTAAGCAACTGTTTGTCACAGGAGGTGCTAAGAAAATTCCTGCATTGCTGATGAAATAATGTTATTTTGGTAGACAAGTTGTAGCCCTCTTATAGTTTCTAATCCTCGAGAAACTTAACTTCAATAGCAACAATTTATTAAGAAGTAAAAAAAAAAAATACAATACAAAGTTATAGGTGCTACTTTTTTGGTGACTAATGGGAAAGCTATGAAAGAAAAAAGAAATGGGAAAAGATTTATATAATTTATAGATTTATAAAGATTTATATTTAAAGGCTAATATTCACAGACTTCCTTTATGTTATTGGAGACAGAAGCTCTCTCAACAAATTAAGACATCCAAGTTAGGTTCCTGCTTTGAAAAATCCTGTGGAGAAAAATGTCTCCATTTGATTTAGTTAAGATGATAATTTCTATATAGAGATATCCAACTTAGTTGTCTGTTAATGTTTTGCTTCTCATCCTTCCTAGTCTAGAGGGGTTTTTATTCAACAAGGTGATTAATATACAAGTAGTAATTCCAGTCACTGTTGAGATCCCTGTATATTCTTCATTAATAAGTTTATCTCAAAAATTGTAGCACTATCTTCACTGACATGGTTTTTTGTTTTGTTTTGTGGTGGGGTTTTTTTGCAGTTTGGGTTGTTGTTTTTTTTTTTCCCTTTTGTAGCTTTACCAACCCAATATAGTGACTTGAAGTACAGGGACCATCAGAGATGACAGTTAAGATTACAAAGGGTGCTCTGTATAAACCTGTTGTGTAAAAAGGTTGGTTGTATGTAACCCCTGAAGAGTTTGCTGTGCAATTTCCCACAACTTTACTATGTGATTGAGATTCTCTTTTACTTTGAGTTTCATGACAGTTGTCAGTGAAATCTCCTTTGAGTGAGGTAGCATTTGCATTGTGTTCCACCGTCTACACTATGGTATCAGTTGTTCCTTTTCAAGTCACAGAAATTACTATATTTTTTCTTGTTACAATAGTAACCTTGATTTTAATCTTGACCAAAATAACACTCTTGTGTATTTAATAAAGGATGTGCACTGTCCTAATACTGCATTTCTTTGGAAAAGTATGCAATTAGATTGTGATAGAAATATGGCCTGTCTTTTCACATTTAGCATAGCTGGCACTGCAGTGACCATCCCACATTGTCTGGAATTACTGTCAGCATCTTATATGTTTATAGAAAATCTGGAAGACAAAAAGATCTGTAGGCTGTTTTGTTGGTTTTGGTTGTTTTTTTTTTTTACTGGCATGTGATATTTTAAATATTTTTTCCTCCTCATAGTATGATGATTTTTTGTTTGTTTGTAACTTTGTAAATAGCAAGATCGCAAGTCCTTATCTCTGTGCTTATATCTCGACTTAGCTTATTTTAGTAAAACAAGTTCTGGTTATATCTAAAGACATGTAAGAATATAGAGAAAGAATGTATTTAAAGAATCAGGTGAAGTTCAAAGTATTTGTTTCATAGTCTAAGGGATAATGAAAGCAGTCTCAGAAAAAGAGAACATCTGGTTGGAATGACCTGGGGATAGAACAGCTCTTTGGACTTTGGAACTGGGAAAGATACTTAAATTAGCAACTGCCCTAGGTTTAGAATGAAAACAAGTGAATTTGATAGATAACTTAAATATATGACTCATAAACTTCAAATTATACAAGCTATTTTATATAATCTTTGATCTTGTTTTTTGTCTATGGAAATTTCATGGAAATGAAATGAAATCTGTTTTCTCTAGAAAGTGTGTTTTCAGTAGGTGTATTTAAGCCCTTAACCATGATTCAGTATACTAAGTGTTTAAATATTGTGATTTTATTTTTCATTTAGGTTGAAGATTGTAAAAATTTCTTTTAAGTGCAAACAGTTTTTTATTCAACTTAGGAAAGAATTGGTGAGTAATGTCTTAAATTTCATCTCAAAAAGTAGGAACAATGAAATTTCTCTATACTGCATGTCTGCATTATACTGACTGATATTATGTTAATTCTTGCCTTTATCTGCAATTAAAAGTCCAGTTTCACCAATATTCTGGCTATTTCAGTTCTGAAATGGGAATTAAAATGCTTTAGAAGACTTTTTAAAATTTGATTTGCCTTATATTTAAGATAAGTTTAGTTTTACATTTGTATGCAGGAAGTGTAACTTGCTTATATAACACAAATGTTGAAAAGCTTGAAAATAAATCAATATTGAATTTAAATTTCGGAAGAAACCAAATTAAAATTAAAGGTAGTGCTTAATGCTGCTTTGGTTGTAAATGTGCTTGTAAGTAAATGTTTCATTAAAATATGCTGATTTGTATTATTCAGATTCAGTAATGGAAGTTTAATAAGAATTTATTACTTATATTTAAACAGAAGATATAATAATGTCTTTGCAGTTTTAAATTATATATGGTAATTTTTTTATATCTGCTTTTAAATTTGCTGGGGAAAAGTTGAAGCTTTCTGTGAAGAGTATGTTTCACTTCTTGTGGTGTGTGTTTGCTACCCTATGAAACACCACAGGACCACTGTGCATTTAATTCAGCAAGAAATGGATTGTTCCATACCTCCAAGAGATTAGAGTCTAAACCCATCACAGACATACCACTGGGGAAGGATGGAGGAATTAATTAAAAATATTACTATGTGATTAACTCAGATTAGTTAAAAGGTTTTGTGCAGTTCTTATAGCTGAAAGGATTTGAAGACCTGAAATGCAGAGTTACTGACTAGATAAAAAAGATGGATTCTAGGCAGAAATGCATCCTGAGTACTATAGGACTATTCCAGGTCTAGAGACAGTGTAGTTAAACAAGAAAAATATAAGGAGGAGACACCTGTTATGTCAGATCAGGGCAATGGCTGGTGACTGGTACTGAAAACAGGAGTCAAGAAGGTCCTTTAAAATGAGGCCCAGGAGTTTGTGGTTTTCACAAATGGAACTACCTCCCCACATGCAGACACTTTATTGTGTATTAGTTAACAGAAGTGTAACCCATGTGCTTGGAGCAGTGTAAGTAGCTATCAGTTCAGAAGTAGAATAAGAGGATTTAGAGGATTTTGGAGTAATTATGTGTAGAAAGAAATTGACTTTGACTATTACATGAAATAAACAGGTGCATCTGTCAATGTGAGCAGAAAAATGGTAATGATACAAAAGAGGTGGGGGGAATATTTTGTTGTGGTGACACAGGTATTTCTTAGTACCCTACAGGTGCTATAGGCTAGTTCTCAAAGGCAAACTGATCTCTGACAGCCCAGAGGTCAAATTTTGTCCTGATACCAGTGTGTGTAACTTCCATTACAGTTGCAGGAATGATGTATGTAGATCTGAGATGAGAATTCAGAAGTTAAGAACTGCAGTTGCTTTCTAAATCAGAACTTGAAGAAAAGGCTGTAGTAACAGAGTTCAGGACCTTGAAGACTGAGATAACCTAGATATAAAATTGGATTAAGTACTTACTGTACTTGACTGTTTTCTGCAGGAAAAAAATATTCTGCATATAGTTGAAAGTAATATAAATAGCTTTCTCATCTTGTTTTTTCTGTTGCTTTTTAATACTCTGCATATCGTTACTTGCACCAGAATGTAGTATGTGTAACTAATGTAACTTCTCTTCTGAGACATCTTATCCAAGCCAACAAATTAAAAAGCTTCGTACTGTTTTTCTTTAAACTCTATGTATCAGATGAAAACTGATGGCAGGAACTTAATTTTCATTCATTTCAAGTCATGAATATCTTAAGATCAAAGCTTAAATTTGGCTTCCAAAGAAGACGTACTTTAACTAATTTTTTAATCAAACTTAATATGAAAATTGCTATTTCCAGAGCTACTTTCCCTGAGTAGACTCGTAGGATAGGATTCATCTCACTTATGTTCAGCTTCAGTTAGGTTAAAAGAACATATTTTCTGTTTCATGATAATTAGCTAACCAAAGCTTATCATTAGACTTCCTCTATAGTAGCAAGACACATGCAATGAAACACCATGGAGGAATTAGAAGTACATTTTAGGATGGATTAAGTTGCTCTCTGGTGGCATATGCTTACTTGTGCTTTCACTTCCATTAACAATAAAGGGAGTCTAAATGACTCTGTTTAGGCAGCAGAAACTAGGTGAAGTGACTCAGTGATTGCACATTTGGTGTTTAAAATATCTCTGGTCTGGTGCTTTGAGTGTATATTTAAAAGCACTGATTTACGGTATGGCAGTGCAAATACATTCATGGTATGCTGATGAAGTGTTTCAAAGGGTGTAAATATATAGCAAATTGTACAGCTGAGTAACTGTGTTTATCCTGATGCAAAGCTGAGGTGAAGGTTAAATTAGTGGACTTGGGAGAGGAATTTTCCAGTGTTTTGTTGCTGGATTTTTTTTTCTTTTCCAAATTGGGCATCATATGCTTTTAAGTAGTCCTAAACAGATAGTTTTTCAAACACTGCTAATGAGTGTTGAGAGCTCTTAGTTGCAGCTGTCCTCAAAAGTGCAAGTGCCTTATCTTTTAATCACGTCTTAAATTTATTCCCTGAGTTGGCATTGCTTAGAGGCATCAACATAAGTAAAAAATTATTTGCCTATGTTTAATAGATTATATCTGTGTTTAAATAAATCACTTAAAGGAAGTCAGATGAAGCAGTTTAATGTCAAAGTCATTTTCCACTGGTAGCATAATACAATCTGGAATGGAAGCTGGTTGTGCATTCTGGCAATTGCATAGCTGGAGCACGCATTCACTGGAGTATATTTCCTTTCCATTGTTTCTTTATGATTTTGTGGGGGAAAAAGAATGAGAATGTTACATGTATGACTTCTTCATGCAATATTAGAAGACCTCTGAGCCATAACTTCAATGGCAGGTTTTTTCACCCTATTTTTGTTTATTCTGCCTGTTCCATATGCTGCTTCCCTTACATGCTTTGAAGCTGTTTAAGAATAATTCAGTAGTTTCATTTTTCTAGATGTTTCCCTAAGCTTCTTTGTTTTTAGTTAGTTGCACCCTTGGCTGTTGTAATGTCAACAGTCAGCATCAAACTCTTAATGCTGTCCAGCATACTTTAATGGTCTCGATTCTTTGACAGTCAAATAAGCTGTTCAGTGTGTTCTTTTCCTCTTCTAGAGATGACATATCCACTGAAAAATTGCTTGAGTCTGTAACAAAACAGTATCAATATTTGGCCATGACTAAGACCTGATTTTAGTGTGTGGCCAAAATGATGTTTGTTGATTTTATTTATTTACTCATTTTTTAATTATAGATTATGTACGTGAAATTTGAGCTTTTAATTTTTTCTTCTCACTGACTTTTAGAAAGAACTTGTGGTAGAGTCACAAGGTGATGTATGAATCACAAGGTGATGTATGAATCACAAGGCGATCTATGGGCTGATCTGCCCAAGTACATACTTGATCTTAAGTAACATGGCATTCATTAGATGCCTAGTTAATTGTTGCATAATCTTGTTGAAGTTTCTGCCATTTGGTTTTTGCGTGAAGAGCAGATGCTGTTGGCACAATCTGTGTTGCATTTAAGCTGCCACAGGACTTTTGTCCACTATTTGTGGAACATCTTGAGTCTCTGGAGCATCTGCTGCTTATAAAGGAGAAGTCTTTTTGTCTCTCTCAGAGTGGGAGTAAGGAATTTTTGCTTTGTTCTGGGATTTTTCTTTGTTTAGGAAAAGTGAAAGAGACCCACTAGAGAATGTTTTTCAACCCAGTTTATCTCCTGATTAATGAGACCCACTCTGAAGTCCCTGTTTCAAATCAGGTAAAGGTGGATTTGAATGAATGTCCCCAACCAAGGTGAATGTTGAAGGGCTGAGCTGTCCTATGCGAGAGCAACACCAACACCCATTCTGCTTTTTCCGTTTGCTTTTTGTCCTTTTAATAAAAGGAACCACAAACATGACTTAGACTTTACTTTGCCCTGTCCCTTCAGTGATTCTTCTTGGATTCTGTAGGTACCCTGCCACATGGAGTACATTTGTAAGGTTATGATTTAAATGAACTTGCATGGTGGTATTTGACTTACCTGTAGTTCCACTCTTGGGCCCTGAGCCTCTAGTCACCAGTATTGCATTCCAGCTGCTTCACTCTTCCACCTCTCTGTAGCAAGCTGTTTTCCTCTCTCTAATAGGAAATATGGACACAATTAGTAATTTCACAGCAGAATCCAACTTTGACTCCCTCAGGTAGTCTTCTAACACCGAACAGACCTAAAACCCTGAAATACCTGTATGTCATTGTCATACCATAGAGCATTCAGCATCTTCCAGGAGCCTTGTGCTGTTAAAACCTTCTCATAGGCTGCAGTGTAACCATCCTGGTATTTTATGTGGTTTTCAGTGAAGTACCATGGACGTTAACAAATGTTGCCCTGGGGTTTTACCCTGAGCCCACATTGATTCAAACCTGCTGTTTTCAGGGAAAACGCGGGCAATCTTATTCTAAATCCAGCTACCAGACAGCGGTAGAACCAGGGCTTGCACCCCAGAATCATCATCAAAGATTAATTTCAAGTGCCCAGCTTACATTTGTGTTTTAAAGAACCTGCAAGGGTGGATAGGAAAAAGTTGGGTGCACTTAGGAGCCCGTATGTTACACACTAATTTACCTTAAAGATTGATTCTTAGCTGTAATTGAGATGAAGGGTAGAGTTTGAGAATCAGTTCTCTCTGCACTGCAATGAAAGCCTTAAAAGCTATGAATAGAACTATTGTTAAGGTACCTTTAAAAGCTCTAACACACCAAGTTCCTGTGAAAGTGCTGTTCTGCATTACAATTAAGCTGATCTAGCTGCAGCTCCTCATCATGCTACCAGCTCCCCCTTCATGCTTCATGCCTGATCTAGTGATCAGATGGTGGCATCGGAATCAGATCAGCTCATTGTCTGGAATACAAACTGTGGGAAACAGCAGGATTTTTTTTTTTTTCTCCCAGCCCATAATTATAATGCTTTAAATGTGACATGAAGATCCATGATCATCGGCTCATATAATTTGTCACATTCTCTTTTCCAACAGTGTGAAAGGCTGACAGAGCATTTAAATTTGCTACCTCATGAGAACTGTTTGTTGGAAAACTAAAATCTTAGCTGGTTTGTCCTTTACTGGATCCAGACGAGGCAGTCCATATTTTACTTAGTTCCTTTCTTGCAGAATAATAATGTATTTTGGTTATGTTGTTGTTGTTGTATGTTTACATTGTTGATAAAGCCTTTTTTAACTGAATAGGTAATGGAATTAATTACTGTTGCCTTGTTTTCATTTTTAAGTACTTCTGTTAACATGTCTAGAAAATTCAGAGAACAGTTGGCAATACTTGGAAATTAAGAAGAGAGATATAAGTATCTTTTAGTTTCTTGCATATAATTTCTTGAATTTCACCGATACTCAGAATTTGCTGTTTACTTTTTAAATCCATTTTATTCTTTACCCTAAATTCATCATGTGTCTGAAAATACAGTGTTGTTGTTAGTCGTTAGTCGCAACTTCCCAGATACAATATTGAGAGAAGAGTTGCAGGTCTATGCCCTGGTATCTCCGCAGAGCTAAAGGTGAGCAGGCCAGCAAAAGTTTAACTTGGAAAAGGAGTTTACTGCTAAGTGAAAATAGTTTAAGGTGCACTAAATGTTGTGGAGGATTTAGTATTGTGAAGAGAAAGCAGAATGATGATATTTTCTGGACTATAAAGGTTGTAATCAAGCTCCCTCAACAGGCAGAATAGTTTAGCTTGCTGTGCAATTTTGCTTCTTTCCTTTACCAGGAATCTAATTAATTGTTTAGAAGTGGGTGTATCAGTCAATAACTGTTCCCAGTCTCTAACTGGTGCATGTGCATGACAGTGCTTTGTCTTAACTGTAGTAATCTTGAAAGAGGGAGGCATGTTGCCTTTGAGTTCTTGAATCACAGAAATTTTCTAATGCAGTTTAGGTCCTACCTTTTGGGACTATTTCTTCCCATCTAGGCTTATTTCAATATTGGTAAACACAACCTGTGAGCAGGCTCATTTAAAAAAGAAAAAGTGTCTATAAACTTTAAAATTCCTTTAAAGAAAACTTAGAGGTATTTTAAAAGAGTTTATAATACTTAAAGTTAATGTAAAATTAAAGAACCACTTCGAAAAGCATAATTTTTGAAAAAAAAAAACCTCCCAAGCCTAACAGTATTTATCTTAATTTCAAAAGTAACTGGAAGTAATTTTAACCTGAGATAAATTTTTGTCATTTTTAGCATGAATCTAGAGAAACATTATTGGGATTCAATATGGTGAATTACCGAGCATGTAAGAATTTGTGGAAAGCTTGTGTTGAACATCACACGTTCTTCCGTTTGGACAGACCGCTCCCCCCTCAGAAGAACTTTTTTGCACATTATTTCACTTTGGGTTCAAAGTTCCGGTACTGGTAAGTGCTGATTTCAAATATATGGGAAAGAGCATAAGAGAACACGCAACTCATCAATAAAATAGGGAGTTATTTAGAATCTATATTAAAAGGTGCCATAATTCAAGTAGCTTTTGAATCCTGCAACTGTTCCCCTCCCCTGTTGGCCTAAGTTTCAAATATTGTCAGTAGTTTTCTAGGATAGCTTGAAAATATGATTATTGTATTATTAGTGGTTGCTAGCGAGGCAGTAGTCTGTGATTGTCTTTGCTTGCTTACCTGCTGGGTTATGTTTATCTTAAAAATGTTGTCTCAGAACTTCAAAGTCTTTGACCTGGTATTTTTGAAAACTGATGGATCTCAGATCTTGTGTGCAGCAACAGAAACAAAACAGGCCTAAATAAAGATCAAATAGAAATCAATGAAAAGAAGCTTGTACGAGCAAAGCTCAGTTAAGCTAGGTGCATGCAAATAGGAAGTAGGTGAAGACAAAAGACATACACATTCTGCACCAAAGCCAGAAGTTTGGAAAATTAGAACAAAATTAAGTCCATAACTTTTAAGGATGAAATTAATATAATGGGGGAAAAGCTTGGAGGTGAAAAGAATGACTGTGCAATAACTATAATCCCCAATTTCTGTTCTAACAATGGAGTGGATGATGTGCTTTTCATTAAAAAAACAAACAAACAAAAAAACCCAAAAAACCACCCCTCAGTCAGTAACTGAGTTAGCTGTCTTTGCAAGTACTGCAGAATACCGATGGTTTAAATCGTGCCTGAAGTAGAGAATAATGGAGCTACTACTAATCATCCATCTGGAATGGCAACAGCGTCTGTGACGTACAAAGGGAGATGATGAAAAGCTAGAAAACACATTAACAGACTATTTCTGATAACACTTGTGAATTGCATAAATGTATAAAGAGGCCAAGTAATTCAGTGGCTAGATTTTTGTACCATCTGTTTTTTTGACCACTGTTTACAGCACCCATTTGAGAAACAGCATTCTGTGATCCTGAACAGTGTTTCAGACTTGGTTCAGTGTTCCTCTAGTGAATTTAGGGGAGCTTTTTCATTTCTGTAAAGATTTTGAATTTGAATCATTGTGGTTACCATTACAGAATAGCTGTTTGATGATGACATTCAACTTATGTTAATGTAAGATGAAAAGGGAAACGGCATAAAAATGAATAAGGTCATTAAAGTTAATGAAGCAGCCAAAAGGCTAGAATTTCTGCAAGTAGTCTGAAAGATTTTTTTTAGAGGCAGCATAATAGTAGTAATGTGGCACACAAGGAGAGGTTAAGGTCACTGGTTTTATTTAATCTGGTGAAGAGGAAGCTAAGGGGGAATTTAGTAGCAAACCTAAAGCTACTTCAAGTCTCAGAAATGATGGAGCCAAACTTGTGCTGGTAATGAGAGGTGGTAGAACAAGGGGCAAGAACCATAAACTTCACCTTGAAGATTGTAGCTGGACATTAGGAAAATTTTAGTTTTTTGGAAAAGAGGAAAATACAGAGAGCTTACTGCTTGTCAGAGTTAAAAATGTATAACCCAGGAAGTTGTTAGGCAGCAGGTTTGAAGAGAGCAGCATGGCAGAGGTTGGAAGGCTGCTCTGGACACTGTCGAATCCGATGCCCTGTTCAAACAGGGTCCACTGCAACAGATTGCCTGGGACCACATCCAATCAGGTTTTAAATGTCTCCAAGGATGGAGACTCCACATCATCACTGAGCAACCTGATCCAGTGTCTGACCACCTTCACAGTAAAAAAGTTATGTTTGTTTTGTGCATTTTGTTGTTGTGGCGGTTTTCCTTCTGTTTAAATAGGATATCTTATATTTCAGTTTGTACCCATTGCCTCTTGTCCCATCTCTGGGCTCCCTTGGGAAGAGTCTGGCTGTATTTTTTTTACTTTCCCCTTCAGGCATTTATACACACTCATTGGATCCCCCTGAGCCTTCTCTTCCTGAGGCTCAACAATCCCAGCTCGCTCAACCTCTCCTCATATGTCAGATGCTCCAGACTCTTAATTGTCTTTGTGGCCCTTTCCTTGACTTGGGGGACCCTGGAACTCGACACAGCACTCCAGATGTGGTCTCAGCAGTGTTGAGTAAACCTGCTTTCCAGCCAGTTGGCCCTCAGCCTGTGCATGGGGTTATTCCTCTCCAGGTGCGGGTCTTTGCATTTCACTTCACTGAATTTTGTGAGGTTGCAGTTGGCCCATTTCTCCAGGCTTCACACATCCATTAGTTCTGTAATATGAATGTGAAAATAGCTAATTGGGTATCAGTATCCTTTTAGGACATGGTATCCTCTGACTCTGTGCCTTGTTCTGAAGTTATAAATGGGGAAGTGGCTACAAGATGGAATTTTGCTGGTATCTTGCCACCAATTCTTAACTGTGATAGACACTAAAAAAAAATTGTATTTTTTAATAAAACAGAAATTATGAAATATTATAAAGGATCTGTGATTTGACACAAGACATCTGGTCTTATATGAAAAGTCAGCAAGTTCTAAGATCTAATCTTGGTTTTGACAAGTTGTGTAGAAGAATACAATCCTGATGTGCTTATCATCTAATTGCTTCATGATATTTTGCTGAACCATGTAGCAACTAAGTTATTAGCAATTCGGGGAATGGTTTAGGAGGAGCATGAAAGAGATGCTGTAACTTTTGATTGTGGCTATAACAGGAAGGATTATAATGTTAAGTGTTATCCAAAGATCCAAGCAGAACTTTCTTCTTGCTTTGAATTAAGAAGGAAAAGGAAGAGAAGAGAAAGCTTTATGTTATGCCTAAAATTAATTGGTCTTTGTTTCAGTTAAACTTTAATGGGAAAGAAAACCTATACTTCTGACAAATGCTTTCTAAAGTTACACTGTACTGAAGCCAGCACAATTGCTTGAGCATGACTGAAAATAGAATTTAAGGGTTTTTTGTTGAGGTTATTCCATTTTAAGCAAGAAATTGTTATCCTAAGTTTGTTGCATTTAGTGGTGTGGTTTTGTTTTGCTTTGTTTTCTAGTGGGAGAACAGAGGTCCAGTCTGTACAGTATGGTAAAGAAAGAGCAAACAAAGACAGGGTATTTGCAAGGTAAGCAATTTACATTTGTTACAAGGTCGGTAAATCTTCTGTTTGTATCTTTTTAGATGTTATGAGATCATTGTTTTCTGTTTGCAAAAATATAAAATAAAGAGCAGCAACTGTTGTCAGCTGTTGCTGGTTACTTGACTTAACCCTATTAAGGAATTTAATTTTGATATGGGAGGGTGTCTCTTTGGGGCAGCCAGAAATGGAGGATAATCTTATGACAGAAAAGTTAATAAAGGTGTTCTTTAATATTTCCCTCTATATATTTTCAAAATTCAGAACAGCCTTCAATCTGTGCAGTTTTTCACATGTACTAGCCCTCTTTGTACTGTCTTTATTCCAAAGAATGGTCTCTCTGACTGTTCCATTAAAATACTGAGTTAATGGGTATGTTTTATCCCTGATAACAACCTAAAACTGTACACAGATATTTCCTTTAGAATAAGGTACTGTCAGTGTCTTACGTGGAGAGAACAACTTTATTACTGTAGTTGTAATGAGGTATTTTAGTATGAAAAATTTGACTGGGAGTGAGCTGTTTCTGAAGGTATTCTGTCACAGAGCAGTTGGTTAATCATAGAATCTATTACTTTATTGTATTTCAGACTCCTGAGGGGTTTAGTGATTACAGCAGTCAAGACATAGATTTAGTTCTTCATTCAGAAATTATGATACAGTATTCAAAAGTAAAACTACTGCTGCATCCGTTTGGCAGTCTGCTCTGATCATTAACAGAAAGAATCCTTATGAGAAGGGAGCATGCTCTGTGCTTTTTTTTATGCTTACATTTTTGCTGAGAAAGGGAATGTCTTTTAGGATAGTTAGCCCTTAAGGAACTCTGGAGTTAAAATTTATTCTCACAGACTTTTAGTAACAAGCCCAGCAACCTTTCTCAAGTACGTACAAACACTGGTTTTTTGAGCACTGGCAAATTCTGCCTTGATTTCCTGCCCCCTCCCCTCTGACTTCTTTCCCCCTGTGCAATATAATATGAGTTTTTAGGTGGGCACAGGGTAGAGACCTAGCTCCGTATTAGAAGAATTTGGGGACAGAAGTACTTGTGACACATTTGTTCAACAGGTAGATTTTATAAGACCAATTTATTCTGTGTGCTGTAGAACTATTTTTTACTCTGTTTTACTTTGGGACTCTGGTTAGCTTTTTACTTTGGACAACTTTTTTAGTTCTTGGAAGACTCAACTGAGTTTTATTTCTTTAAATGATGGTTACAAATCAGTTAAAAACTATTTTTCTTGTTGTGCTCTGAACTTGGCAGTTCCTAACAAATAAGTAGGGTGGAGGAGAGCTGATACTTGGTTTCGAGGAGTATATTTATTGTTTTAGAAACTTATTCAGTAGGTGGCACTCTTCCCTTTGTGTCAAAACTGAACAAGTGGTGCTAGGGTCTCTTGTATTTTGTAATATATACTCTGGATAAAAATGAAAGTCACGGCTAGAACTGCTCTGGTGTTTTATCAAATCTTTTTTGTTATTTTTTTGGTAATAATATACTTGGTTCTTCTGTCCTCAGTAATTTTATTTTCCACTGTTGCTTTTAACTTAAGGAATGCAGCATTCATCCTCACCTTTTGAGTTGATTAGTAATGTTGATGACTGATACATGTCTGAGGCATATCTGTGTAAATCAGTGAACTGAAGTCAATGGCATGTTGTAGTGAATACACCTCGAAAGCCTTTCAACAGAGCATCTGTTTCTTCCTCTGTCCTTCCCATCAGTGTGCAATTAATGCATTTTTCCATTTTAAAGACTTAGTATTTTCAGGGGTGAAAAAACTTGAAATATAAGACGTTTCTAGAACACCCACGTGGTTTAAGAAGCTTAATGTAAGAACATGACCTTTAATTCTTTGTCTTTTAAACATTTACATTTCAAGTTAAAATACCGAGTAATGTTAGCCTTTTTATATTCATATAGAGGATAAATTTTGCTTTTTAAGGTTTTCCTGGTATAACGTGACTTTCGTTCCTGCAACCTGCCTTTCCCTTTCTCAGTGTGTCTTTCTTGGACAAAGTCATTGTGTTGTTGAACAGCTTTTTAAGCTGTCAAGCAGCAGGCTTGTTTCAGTTGCTTTTCAAAGTTCTGCTAAGTATTGGTTGCTTCTTGCTATGAAATCAGGAGCATGCTAGTGTTACAGTCAGGTCTTTCTTGAGAATTAAGTGGACACATAAAAAAATAAATCATTACTGTCGCTTTTATTATTACCACATCAGAAGATTTATTCAAGATCAGTTGGGGGGAAAAAAATTTTTCAGTTTTTTTTCCCTAGAGCAATCCAGATTTGCACTCCGTTTTATCAATATCTAACTAGAAACTGCCTTATTTGAGCTAATATTGTCAAAGGAAACTTCTTAATCATTTCTTTTTAAGAAAATAACACAATTAGTCATATTGAGATATTGAGTGATCTGTTTGTTCTAAGTTGAGAAATGGTGGTTGCCACAAGTAATGATCATCTAGCCCTTGCACACTGAGCACAAGACATGGAAATAAAGTTTCTTAACAGCTATTTGGATAAAACAGTTACAGACTACAAGTAGTAGGCTTAGCTGTTTGTTCTCAGGATTTTACTTTAAAATTAGCTGAAGTAGTATTAATGGATTTTTTTTTCCAAATCATAAAAGCATTTCAAATTAATTTTAGAAAAAGGAATCTTATTATTGTGAAGGAGATAGTCTGTAATAAATTTGATACCTTTTGCAGATGCTGTTTTCTTAATCTTCGTATCTTCATACAGCACTAACTTCAGCACTTAGAAAACAGTTGCTGCAGTTATTTAGATTTTTTTTTTTCATCTTCATCACACCTGTTCTCTTGGCCTTATTTGCTGCAGAATACTCAAAACCCAAGAAAACCTGTAAGAATTAATTCCAGGACCTTAAAGTGAAAGAAGTTTGATCAAGTGATGAATTGAGAGATTTCTTAAAGAGCACTGTTCTCTCTCAAAGTCCTTGCAAAATATTCTAATTCTGTTCAGTTTTGATGGAGTGCACTGGAGCTGAGAGGAGATAGTTTATGCACGTTGTATGATAGTGAGTGGGTGTCTCAGTCATTTGGATTTGCAGACTCCCTATCATTGAGTTGCAATCTCTGTTTCCAAATTTCCAATCTTGCTTCAACCATGCATTTATTCAGGTTAATTAAATAATTCCTTGAGTGCTTTAAATTGCATGTCATTTGTGGTGTATCTGCAGATTTATATATAGTTTCAGTCGCTTGGTCTGAAGCAGTAGTTGCCAGTGTTGCTGAGAAACGCGTTCCCTGTACTCCTTGTCAAAATACAAAGCAAGGCCGTGGCTCCAGGTTATATTTCTTTTTAGGACAGAAATGATTTTAAAGATTCCCAAAGAATATCCTCTTTCTTTGCCAGCTCCTGTGAGAATTTAGCACTTCTCCTGTGGGATGCAAAACAAATTCTGCCTTGGAAAGCTTTTGTGTACTGTAGCTGAGCTAATATAATTTGTTGTGCTTTTTTTAGTTGCATTATGTAATTTCATCCCTGCTACTACTCTTTTTTTTTTTTTTAATTATTATTACTTTTTTTAATTTGATGCAGTGTCATAGCTTCTAAGACTGTTCTTGATTTTGGGGGCAGGTAAAGTTTTCTTTGTCCCTACTCAGGTAGATAGGACTTCTTCCAACTTTTTTAGGAATGTCTGAAAATTAAATCTGAAAATAGTTTACTCTGTTAACTAGCAGTGCCCAGTGCTGGGGTGTAATAGAAGCATCCAGACTTGAGCAGACAAATGTGGAATTTAGAATTTCAGAGTTTATTAAAGCATTTAAAAAGTATTTTACAGCTTACTTCCCTGCTCCCATCTCCTCAGCTGCACTCTGGCATGAGAAAATTATTTTATATTGTAAGAAATTAGTGATACAGGAGACATTTGCAGGAATATTTCACAATATATCTTAAATGTTAATAAAAAACCCCTTACTGTTAGATTTAGAAGTGTTGGCAGGAGAACTAGTATCAAAAAGCCACAGCACTGATAAGTTCAGTGCTGCAGTGTGGTAATTTTTTCTTTGAAATTTCTGCAAAGACAGGAAGCGGAGGCAACAAACATGAGTGGGTGGGACTCTGAGGTTAGAGCTGTTAATAAAATAATTGAAACAAACCTTTGCTGATAAGTGCTGCAGCTGTTTATCATGGCAGTAATGTATTATTTATGAAAGATCACAGCCTATTCACACTAAAAGGTGAGTTTTCTTAACCTGGATTTTTTTGATAGGGAAGAAGGTGACGCTTTTCTCATTTTAGAGTTATGTTCCTTTGTTGCATAGATTGAGGAAGTTTTCAAAAACGTAGTTACAAACTGTGACTTAAGATGCAGTGCAGTGGGGTTTTTTTGAAGCAGTCAAAAATGCAATTTTTGGAAAAACTTGTTTTTTCCACTCATTATATACTTTTGTATCTCTGTAATTTAATTTGTTTTATACAGGCAAGGATGATGCCCTTTCATTGTTGTTGCATATTTAAAAAACAAACCACCACCAACTTTCCTATATTCCACTTGTTGCTTTTTTCACTGAAAGTAAATAAGGCTCAATAGCTGCCTTCACATGTCTGTCAGAAATACTGGATCTGCAGTCCTGCATTTACCTAATTTAGCATTGGATATATTACGTGCCTCTGCATTTTTCCCTCGGCCCATTCTTTGGTTAGTAGAATCCACCTCTTGGCAGAGCTGGTTCTTGATGCTAATCTGCTGGCTGCAAGTGTGCTGTCAGCAAAGCCTAGCTAATCATAGCTTTGATTAATAAAAGAATAATGAACAGATAAGGTTAGACATGCATTTCAGTTCTGCTGGTTTCTTTTTATTTCACCTGTTCTGCACTGCTCAAGTTTGCTCTGTTTGTGAAGAAAAATATCTTAAGTGGTTTGAGTTGCTTGCATTTAAAGCAGATTACAGAAATTGAAATGCTGGTTTAATTGACATGATATTAAGCTAATTACTTTTTGAATCAAATTAATACTGGTTAAATACAGTGAAGCAGACTAAGAAACTGGATGTGTTTTTCCTCAGGAATTAAATAACTGATATTTTCCCTGTTTTCAAATATCAATATACTATTAGATTTTTTTTTCCCCCCAGATGGAATAAGACCTGAAACAGTAGTATTTAGTATAGCCCATCTCACTTAACTGTCTGAAATTTGTCAGCTGTTGTTCAGTAAGTCTTTAAAGCAGCAAAGCAGCATGCAATATGTGTTCAGAACAGCTTTTGGGTGTAAAACCAAAAATAAACCCTCCACACACAGATCACCACTCCTTTAGTATCAAACACTGTTGACAATAATAGGACTTATTATTTCTGCAGATGAAGATAGATTATTTGATATGATGCTTGACTGGGTTCTCTTGTAGACTTTTTTTTTAATACTGAGAACAGTCTGCTCAAGATAGTGGCTTGCATTGAGTTTTAAGTTCCATGAGAAGCAAAAATGTATTTGTAACTAAGGTTCTCATTTTCAGAAGGATGTAATTTGCATGTGGGTAGTTCCTTAATTTCTCAAAGTTCCTTCTTTCTGGACCTGCACTTCCAGTAAATCAGTAAGGTGATAATGATGAAGATAAAGAACAGTTACCATGTGTCCCAGGGACACCAAACGCAGAAGTTATTTTGTGATATGGGTGTATGGAGCTGGGGAAAGAAATGAAGGAGTTATGCTGATACAATAATATCTTGTCGCCTCATTGTGCAAAGCTGGAGAGTAGAGAAAATATAATCATTGAATATAAAGGCAATTGGGAATGAAATTATAATGGCACGAGACTGGTGAAATTGAAGTATCACTGGAACAAGAGAGGGCTGGATAATGATAGAGGAGAAACTTCAACTGTATAGCACCATCAAAGTAGTAGAAGTAAAGTAAAAACTTGGTAACACAAAATACACAAGACCTTTAAGGATTGTTGGTTTGTTTTTTTTTTGTTTGCTAAAGAATTTTCACTTGAAAAAAAGAACCAGCAAAGTCTGGGTATGTTTAGTTGCAGGAAAAGTGAACCATCCAGTGTGATGGTAAGAAACAAGCAACCACATTTGTGGTCAAGTACAAATCATGTATTTGATTTCCAGTGCAAAAGGGAAATACAATATTTCATGAGGGATTGCAAGTATGGTCTCATTTGTGCTTAAGAAATAGGTGAAAGAAACAGCAGAAGGGGATCGTGTGTTTCCTGGGATGACTGCAGAATGAGAATAAAAAGTTTCCTCAGTATCAAGAAAGGGCAATGAGTAGAAAATACAATTCCTTTTGTGTAAAAACACTGGTGATAACGACCTTTAACCTGAAGCGTGTTTCTGGCACAAAACCAAATGAAGTTTGGTTACCCACAAATAATTTTAAACAGGATGATTGCATCAGCCTGGTGACAAAACATGTTCTGGAAGAAAGCATGTCACCTTGATGGGAATCCCTGATGAGAAAAAAAAACTCAGTAGCTCCATTGCCACGTTGGTGATTACAACATTTTCAATTCTTCAAAGTTTTTGGAAGGGTTTTTTTGGGCTAATGTTTCCACTGCTTTATATTTCCTAAGATGGCTGAATAGAGGTTACTTAGAGGTTTTTTGGGTTTTGGTTTGTTTGTTTGTTTTTTGGTTTTTTTTGTGTTGGGTTTTGTTGTTGTTGTTGTGTGTGTTTGGGTGTTTTGGGTTTGTTTTTTTTTTTACTTTTAAGTTCAGACCTCTCAATGTATCTTCTGTTTGAGTCAGAATCTCTTTTAGGCATCAGAAATATCTAGTGAAGTTTAGTGGGTTCTTCTTCTATCTTGTCTGTCTCCCTCCCAGCCAACAGTATTTTGTGACTGTATTTCACTGACTTTCTTGTACAAAGTACAGAAAATAAAGTAAAATATATTGAGTGCTGCCTATGTGAATACAGTTTTGCATTATTACATGTCTTTTCTTCCATATAATTAGGTTTCCTATGATAGAATATCAGTTTCATTGTGGTGAATTTTATGTAATTTTGTTCTTACCTCATATAATTTTTGGTTAGTGATTTTACTTTCCTCTTCTAGATCCCCCAGTAAACCCTTGGCACGGAAATTAATGAGTGGGATGGACTGGGAAGTAGTGAGTAGGAACTCACTGTCTGATGATAGGTTGGAAACACAGAGCCTACCATCAAGGTCTCCACCTGGAACCCCCAATCAGTAAGTAGCATTGAAAGTTCTCTCCCTAGAAGTGACTCTACCTCTAATGTGTACTTGTGTAATAGAAGGATTAATGCATTACAGAGACAAATAACTTCACAAATTTTGTGCTGAGTGGTTCACTGGAACATTTAACTCCAGATAAGAGAAACTGTTTGGAGGTAAATTTTAGGTGCTTCTCACTTAACCTATAAAAAGTGTAAGATGTAGCACGCTACCCTAAATTTGACAGCTTGAGTTTTCTCAAGCACAGTTCAAACTCAATTACTGAGTTGGAGAAGAAAAAATCTTATAAAATCTCTGTGCTATTTGAGAAATAATTGATTCTGGTTAATGCCACTTCTTAAAACATTGGGGAAAATTACTTAATCAGAAATCCTTGCAGGTTTATTCCTTTCAGTTTTTCTGCTTTTCTTTTCAAAGCTCACTCTTTTCACATGATAGAGCTTTCTGTGTTATGTTTGTAGTTAGTGAAAAATCATTCCTGATTTCTTTTGGAAAATAACCAGTTTTTTCAGTGTGCTGAAACTGACTTAGGAATCAGTATTATCCAATTTTGTCTTGCATAAACCAAAAGTTGTTAAGATTATTTGGCACTACAGCATATTATTCAAAAGACTGTTGTTGTAAATACCTATAGCATTTAAAAATTATTGTTAAAATTGTGTAATAATGATGCTCATAGCATAACATAACTTAATCATGCATGGGTTAAGAAACATGCCTATGTCACTATATTAGTTTTCAAAGGGGAAAATTTTGGGTAACAAAAGATAAGAATCTCAGTGCAAAGCTTATGATTCTTCTAGGAGAAGATGCAGGGGATAAAATATTCATCTTAATGAATCCATTTTAATTTCTGCCATGAACAGAGCCAAGATTTTTCTTCTTGGGGATTCATTTTTCTTCTCATTGACTGAACTGTCAGGTCAGTCAAGTAGCCTGTTCATTGGACCATAATGCTTTCAGTCTTCTTTAATTAAAAAAAGAAAGCGCCATTTAGTGTTTATGAAAATAATTTTTGAACACTTTTAAAAAGAAAATTATTAAATTTAGCATGCTGATCTGACAACATAATTGTTTCCTTTATTTTGTAACCTTAAATTGTTTAATAGAAGTATGTGTATGAACATATGCTTGCACTGAGAGGAAGTAATTATTTTAACATTCCTTTGTAATGGTGTAAGAAATGTAGATTAATTATAATATTCTTTTCACATTGCACTCCTATGCTTTCCCTCTCAGTCGCAACTCTGCCTTCACTCAAGAGGGAGCCCGGTTACGACCTTCATCAGTTGGACATTTAGTGGACCACATAGTTCACACTTCCCCAAGTGAAGTATTTGTAAATCACAGGTCTCCATCTTCCACCCAGGCTAATAGCATCATACTGGAATCATCACCGTAAGTTCTGTTAGCCATCACTGTATGGTAGCATGCAGGGCTTCTAAAGATTTTAGAAATCTTCATCATTAAGAATTTATTGTTAAATGTTTGGGTCAGGGCGAGCCCAAAAATCTAATAAAAAGGTAGCTGTTGTTTAGGGAGTATTAGTATAGGTCTTACTGAAAATCAAATGATACAGAAGTAAAGACCTATGTCTGACATGTTCCTGGTGCAGGATTGCGGTACCTTCCTCACCCACCCACCCAAAATGTGGACTTGCTCTAATGTCACCATCAGTGCCTGGATGTGGAAGTGAAAGTTATTTTTTTGGTAGAACTGAACTATGTTGTTTTGTGATCAAAGTTTTTCATTCCCATGAGTTTGGAAATTTTGCTTTTTGCCCTTTTTACCAGGGCACAGAAATATGAGTGAGCTTTACAAATTTCTTAGCCAAAATACCTTTTTAGCACTCCAGCGTTCTGAGGTTCCTAGTATGTTTTGTATGTTGTTATAGAGTATATCTTTATTTTTTTTAAGATAGCACTATCAGACTTTTTTCTGTTATGCTGAATATTCTTAATAGTATAAGTTTTTTATGCTATTATTATGTGTTAAGTCCAGAAGCATGACAAACAAAAAAAGTTGAGTTATTCAAAGATATGAAATACTCAATAACTTGTGGCCAGAGCACAAATTAATTGGGGAAAAATGAGTCACAATATACACCTTGTTAACACTGCCAGTATACCTTGTTATATGTATGTAGCTACATGTGTAATGCTAAATTTGCTGTCATAATTTTATATAATCTCTGTTAGCGAGGAAATTGTGTAAATGGTTTCAAAACCATTTGAGAACTATAAAATAGCACATACATAATTGCACGTCTATAAACAAATTGTGTGTGTCAGGAAAAATTACTCTGGGAAGGTATTTGAACACAATCTTAAAACCTTACTTGGACTGTACCTGCATTTTAACAACTGTGCACAACTTTGGAGGAGGAAAGAGAATACAAAATTTTTTAAGTTTTGTAAAATAACACAAGACACTTTTAATGATAGGATACAATAGTTTTAATTTGACTGTCACCTAGTTATTTAGCTTTCAGAGTTATAAAATGGTAATTTGACCTAATAATATAAAATCTCCTTTTTTTGGTGTGCTTTTTTAACCTATTCACATGACAAGGGAGTCTCAAAACTGGTACACTTGTGAATCTTTTTTCTAATTATTAGAGTTTTGCTGTACAAAGGCCACACAGGGTCAGGTTCCTTCTGTTCCAAGACTTCCAATTGAAGTCTGTTACGAGAATGGTAAAGTGGTGCAGTGAAGTGAGCATGATTCTTAAATATTGTCTTTTATTCATTTACTCTAAGTTGTAAAAGATGTTCCTGAGTGTCCTTGGGATTTGTTTATTTAATACCTGATTTCTTGTGCAAGTCACCATAGAAATGAGTCTTAAAAAGAGAAGTGGTTTTGTAAATTAGTTATGCAATTATGGCTGTCCTTTTTCATGATTTTGCAATTTTCATGCCCAAGCAGAAAAACTATCACCCTTCCATCACTAAGTTTTGGGTTTTGTTTTGTTTTTTTTTCCCTTATTGTAAACTTAAAAGTGGAATTTAATCTCCCAGTAGAGATATCTAACATAAAATATTTTTAAGAATGAGGATGTTGACTGTCAAAAACACATGAACTCTATTAGGGTCTTCTGAAAGTTTTGGGTGATGTTATTGATTCAAGATTGGAGATTTATGAAAGCAAGTAGTAGTCATGAAGTTCATATTAGCTATATAATTTAAAATGAGATTGGTTTACAGTCCAAAAAAACTATTTCTTAAACAATAAGACTTTTCTGAGTGAAAAGATTTGAGTAGTCCATCTGCTAATTTGTTGTGAATTTTTATTTATTGATCAAATTTACATATGTAAGAAAGTCAGAGGGGCTAACCTGACAGGCAGTAGGTTTAGTGTTCTCTCTGAGTTTAGAGTCAACATAGCAAAAGAAATTAAGAGTTTCAGTGCAGTTTAGAAGGATGTAATAGCTTAGCTATTACAACTTTTATTCCACATTTTTTTTCTTCATCTGCATGTGCTATTCAAAACTAAATTGAGAGATTTCTACTTGTATTTTCCTGAGGTAATTATAATCTTAAATTCCAAAAGCGCGTGATTTGTGTTTAGTTTAATAAATTTATGGGAGTGTGTATGAACTTTTTCTTAATATATTAAAAGATCAGACCGGATATCTGTAACAAAAACACCCAAAGCTCGTCAGTGCCAGGGTTTGTGTGTTATCTTATTATTATGTAAATTGCTGAGTGCAGTAACAGAGAGCTGCTTTGCCTGCAAAATAGGCTGCTTTCACTGCCATTGTCTAAGCATTCATAAGGAAATTCAAAGCTGACTGAGTAAATATAAAGCAATGAAGTTTTTGCCCAAGGCTTGATTGTTAGTTCTCACAATTCATTATGCTAATATGTTACAGTACTTATATTGCTGCTTCTAAAATGCTTATTTAAGTAACTTTTCAAATCTTTTCTGTAAGTTTCTATGTTAGGTAGGAATTTATTTGTCTTTGTTGACATATATATACAGACATCTAGTCAAACATAAGTGCTCATCTTTTATTTTTATTGGAACTGGTTTATGTCTCATGTTTTCTGTTCCTTTTTTATTCAATATAAAACTCTCAGGAGTAATTGTTTGCAGGAAAATACGTACGTATGTTGCCCTTCACTTAAAACCCTGAATAATCTGTGCTGGCCAGACTTGAATGAATAGATGCATAGGCAGCTAGAAAGCTCTGGGTGACCTTTTGTAAGTCGATGTCTGAAGAATTTATAGCTACCTTGAAAATTCATTGTTGGTCATCATAATAGTTTTATCTTTCTCCACAAAAATGAATTTAGAAAAGCTGATTATCCTGAAAAATAAAATATAAGGATGACATGCTTTTTTTTACTGTTGCTTGCATTCAGAAGTGTTAAGAAATACTTTTATTTCCTAGTGTGTTTTTAATGTGGGATTCTTCAGACATCAGATACTGAATAATTAGTACTCTTTCTTTTAAGACTGCATGAAAAAATATTTTCTTAAAGTTGAAATTAAGCAAAAATGTACAGAAAAAATATTGTTAGGATCTTTTCAAGTATACTGCTTTTATGGATTGACAAATTTTATCAATATTTTGTTTTTCTAAGCAAAGTGACTAATTTTTTTAAAACTGAAATGGAAAACCTGTGGTTTTTCAGGGTGAAATGTTTTATTTCCCATTCAATTTTCACGCTTTTTGAAAGAGATTCATCCAGTGAAATCACTGTAGACAATTGTGATCTGATTTTTTTGTTATTATTTGAAAATATGTATCTGGGATCTACCTTTAATTACACAGAAAAAATTATACAATATGGAATTTGATGTGTGCCTTAACTTTTCTAACTTGCAGCAACTTGAAATGTTATGCCATCTTATAATGAGAGCCTTACCTTGCTGGCAGTTTTCTGTGGCTAGATCAGTGAAACAGAGTAGGACCACTCAGGTGGTTACCCATTCTTCTTAGAGGGATGTTATGAGTTACCACTACAGCTTGCTGATAACGAAAGGAGCAGTGTCCTATTTCTGGCTCCTGGGCGTGTACTTCCCTCCCCGTGCAGTGGCTGACCCAGTGATGAACCAGTTCACCTTGTTGAGCCAGTAGAGAGCTATTGAAGCTTGTCCAAAAAGTCAGTGTATTTTTGCTTGCTTGGTAAGCTGCCTCAGCCAAGGGAGGAGCACCCGCGTGCTTCAAGGAAGGAGCCGTGGGCGACAGAAAGAAGAGGCACCCATTTTTGGTGGTAGCTTTCTCTTTAGGTTTAACTGTAACCTGTAACTTCATTCTTGGTGGTTTTTGGAGTTGCCACTAGTATCAGTGGGCTGTTGTCACAAGTCATTAAGTTACTTAATAATACCTTTTAATGTGGTTCATGGAGAGGAAGGCATGTGTCCTCGTTGCTATTTGGAAACTAGCATTCAAACTCAGTTAATGGGAACTATGTGCTAACTGTCCTTTTGGGCCTCTCAGAATGTTCTTAATTCTTAAATATAAAGCCATATAATGAAAGGTGAATCATATTTATGTAAGACAAATTATACAGTTCAGCTTTTATTCCAAAAGGCCTAATAAAGGAAATTAACCATTTTATACATAAACACACCAAGCATTTTTATTAATCTACAGTAGAGTGCTTGCAGATCTAAAACAGAATAGAACTTTCTGCTATTTAATCTTCAGTTAATGGTGTTATAATTCAACTAAAAATGCATGCAATTAATTCCATTTTTACAAATGTTTCAAAGCTGCTCATGTTTCAAAGGGCTATATGTTCAAGAGGAGAGAGAAAAAAATCAAAGGTCTCTTGAAACGTATGCATATACTTTTAAATTGAAAAATTAAAATGTAACACATTCATCTCCAGTGGGCTTTTCAAGTAAATGTAGGGGGACTGTTCAGTTGTCTTCAACTTGTACTCCTTCTATTTTTAGATAAAAAGCCAATAACTAGTGTGGGAGGACTTTGTTATCCTGCTTGTATCTGTTTTTGAGGTTTAAACTGAAGGCATTAATTTAAGATACAAACTAATTGATTTTCTTACTGAGCAAAACATTGACATATCTATTTTAGAAATATTTTTTAGCAAGAGTACAGAGTATAAATACATTAAATTTTATAATATATCAATATAAAGTGGGTTAAGAGTGCTAAAACTATTTAAAAAAAAAAATTGTATAAAGGATGAACTGACTGGTTCTGTGTACAATTGCTTGTAAAGGAAAAAAGCAGTAACATCTCTAAACATACACTTCCAATATATTCCACCACAGTACGTTTCTGAGGTTCTAAAAATGTGTACAGATAGTCAGCTTTCAAACTCTTGAGTTTCCTCTATCATTTTCCATCTATTTGGAGCCCTGAAAGAGCTGTCAATACCTCATGATCATCCCGTTTCCTACTTCTATTTTGGTGTTTAGATCTCAAGAGACTCCTATAGATGGGCAGCCTCCTGCGTTACCACCCAAACAATTTAAAAAGAACAGTTGGAACCAAATTCATCATTCACACTCACAGCAAGAACTCGATAACCACATTAATGAAACATTTGATGTTCCTGCATCACCTGAAAAATCCACAGTAAGTTCTTGGCTCCAGTTTAACCATTCTGCTTTTTATCAGTCCTCCTTTTCCTGAGCTTGGTTCTGATGCGTTTCAGAGTTGTTGTGTTTGTGCATGACACTGCAGCATTCCCATTAAGTGTACTGTCTCTTTGCTAGCTCCCGGTATTTTTTCCACCTGCTGGAGTAGTCCTTTGTCATTTGTCATCAAATGACTACATTGGGATGGATACACAAACATTTTGAACATTAACTTTTCAGCACATGCAGAAATTTCTAACAAACATCTTTGAGAAGTCATTTACCATCAGTTTTAAAGAAGACCTTGCAAACCCTACTGCTGGTGTTTAATCTAGCTTTTATCAAAATGTGCCTACCAGCTTCTAGAGCAGTTTTGTCAGGAATCTGTGGTTGTATTTCTCAACGGAATTTCCAAGAAAGAGATTGTACCAAAAGACTTGTGACAAGGAATATAAAAATCTGAGCAAAAGTTAGTTTTCCACACTTGAGCACATGCTAGATGAGTAAGCTAGTCAGTTGATTATTGTCTGACTGAGATGAGATCTCACTGACCATTTTTGTGATTTTTGTCCTCCCAGAAGTTTTCAGATGGTTCTGGGTTTTATACTGATGTGGGACAAGAAACATTCTGCAGGATGGGAAAACTGTTTAACATCCAGGTGTAATAAATACTGTATAAACAGTTTTGCCAACCTCAAACATTCAAAATTATGAGTCGGCTCCCAAAATTGATATTTTAGAAATGCCTTTGGTTTATTTTTATTTGCATTCTGAACTCTAAGCCTAGGGTGTTCTCTCAGGCCTCGTTACAAAGTTAAAACCCATAAAATCCCTATTTAATTTTATAGCTGGGGTTTTAATAAAACAAGCAGAAGTGAAACTTGTAAATTTATGAGCATTTTGGGAATGTTGTAAAAAAACTTTGCTTTAATTAAATAATGAAAGAATTTTTAACAGCATTGTCTTCTGTTAGTGCTTACCTGAGTCACATTAAAGTACTGTTCTGATTTGAAAGGTAACACTACTTTACTCACCAAGTTTTTCTGTTCTGTATTCAGTTATCTTTACCAAATTGAAAAAAATAATTTCCTTTGGTTCTGCAAAACCAAATCAAAAAGATTCTGTTTTCTCTGTACATTGTTAATATGATTGTTTGCTGTGGTCCAATGTTATATTAGCATTTTATAAGCCAATTAGTCTTTTCTTACACTGTTTCTTACTTTAAGCTTGCTTTGACAGAACACACTTTTAACTTAGTTATGTCCAAATCTTTTAAATGTGTAACTTTTCTATGCAAAACTCAAGATAAGACATTTGCTCTATTACCTGATGTTTTCTCAAGTGTCCAGGAACAATTACTTGATGAGGAAACTCTAAAATTATTACATACAGTATCCTCAAAGTTTAACTATGAACAAAATCTATATTAATAAAATATTATTTTTGTTTATTAGCCCAATGGTGGTGTCCCCCATGACAATCTTGTTATGATCAGAATGAAACCAGATGAAAATGGAAGGTTTGGCTTCAATGTAAAGGTAACAATACATCTATTCCCTTCATGTCTGTTAAGATTATTTTCTGACATTTATTATTTATTACTAATTTAATTTGTTTCTAAAGGGTGGATATGATCAGAAGATGCCGGTAATAGTGTCCAGAGTAGCTCCAGGAACACCTGTAAGTTATTAAAAAAAACCCCAAATTTGGTAGCAATATTTGTGTATCTTGAAGTATGTATTCAAAACTGTGAATTATTTCATAGCTGCCTATGAAAATAGTTTGTGCTATAACGTTATCCTAACAAAGCAAATTAGATGCAGTAAGAATTAGTTGGGGCTACATAACATTTTTAAAAGTTCTTCAGCCCTCAAAAATATTTTTTCTAAATGAAACAAAATTTAATTTCTGAAAATTACATAGAGTTACAGATGTTCAGTATGCACTGATTCTTGAGCGTATCATCCTAAAAATACATTTACTTTATTACTTTTTTAAATGTAGGTATTAATGTAATTTCACATAAATTATATATTGAACAAGTCTTTTAGTATGTTAAAAATAACTAAATTAGCTAATCTCTCCTATTTTAGTGACAGATGTAGCTGAATAAAGCCAAGATTTAGATTAAAATCAGACATCATGAATCATTCATCAGGTCTGATTGTCTGTTGTTACTGATGTTTAATAACTATCAATATTGTCTACAAACTAGGCACAATATTTTGTCAGTTGATTGCCGAAAAATACTGACCTGGTATTCAGCTGACTGGAGTCAGCTCTGTTCATACGTTTTAGAGCTGAGTGAACCATTTATTCGCTAACATATAAGTACAGCTTGCCTTTTTTTTTTTTTTGACTATTTGAAACTATTAAAATGTTTACCCAAGAGCATTGTTCTTGTCCCTGTTAATTATATCTGAGATATTTAATAACATAAATAATTTTGGCTGAATGCTTCAAACATCCACTCTCTAAGGAGAAGATATTTGTTGATGGCATGTGTTCTTTTCTGCAACGATGTTTAGACTGATTATAATAATGATTTTTATTACCTGATCCCTCTCTCTGGGACTACTGGGATTTGTGCATTGTCTTCGATCCTTGTCTTACTCTTGTCATTACAGTTGTGATATTTCACACCTGAAGCATTTAAGCCTGTGAAATTGATTTGGACAAGGCTTTGCCATGTTACTGCCTTCCCTTTGAAGATAAGAACATCCTGCTTTTTCATTTCCTATAAAGAATGTGATTCAAACTGAGAAGCTTTCTACTTCAGCCAGAGGAGTGGAGTAAAAGCTGCCAAAATACGTTACAATGACAGTCCCCTCCCAGTTGCAAATTGATTTGTTCACATGAATGGCACTGTCTTACATATTGTGTGATACTTAAATTTATAATTTGAACACAGTGCAGCAACCTTAGCAACTAGGCTGTTAGGATTCAAATCCCCAAGTATAGTTCCTTTAAGTTGCTATTTTAAGGTGAGAAATTGGAAATGGTTTGTTTTACAGTTTTGTTTGTTGTTTTTTTTTTCCTCCTCACCTTGCAGGCTGATCTCTGTGTCCCTCGTTTGAATGAAGGGGACCAGGTTGTACTGATTAACGGCAGGGATATAGCAGAACATACCCATGATCAAGTTGTTATGTTTATTAAAGCTAGCTGTGAGAGACACTCAGGGGAACTTGTGCTCCTAGTTCGACCCAATGGTGAGTGATTTGTACGTAATAATAATAAAAAACAGCAACAAAAAAAAAATCCCCCAAAACCAAGAAACAAAACAAAAAAACCCACAACCAAAAAACACACCTTGCTTTCATTTTCTATCCTCCATTTTGTGTCCTGAGATGGAATGCTTAACATCTTTGTAAGGAAGAACTCCCTTCTTTGAAAAGGAATAGCAATAACACAATGTATTTTACAAATCTTGACTGATCCCATACTCTGAGCTGTGCATAACTACATATTGAAAATTAATAGGAAACTCAGAGATTGAATATTTCTAACAGAGAGCTAGTTTAAATTTTGTTCTCACTCTTGCTGACAAAAATGTCCAGAAAGCTATATGAATATTGAATGCAGTTTCTGAGGTTGTTGTTATTGCCTTAAGAAAAATAAAAACCACAAACAAAACCCCCCTAATCAAACGCACAGTGTTTGGATGACTTTGGAGGTAGATAAATGCAAAATCCTTCCATATGTTTTTAAAATAATCCAGAAAAACTGGTAAGATTTCTGCTTGAGGAGGCTTAGTAGAAGAAAGTGATAAAAATGCAGTCTAAATAACAGCTTGTGCAATATATTAATGAAATACGCTGTTGGAGCATTGCCAGCAGATGGTCATTGGATTTAATCCTGCTGCACATCCCAATTACAGTACAGTTGTACAGGAAAAAGCAAAATGAAAAATAATTATGTTTAATCAGAATAATTGAAATTACTTTGGGAAAGTACCTCAGCCACCTCATAAACCATTTTTCCTTTATTCACTTATTTGCACTCCCTAGTTGTGCTCTCATTCTGGGTGTAAGTTCTCTTGCAGCTTTTGTATGTTTACTTCCTTTTTCAGATAAAATTTTTAACTTTATTTACAGATTTACTAAAACAGTTTCCCCTTGTGTGTTGATTATCTTTATATTCTGGACAAAACCATTAAGAGTTGTAGAAGTGAGGAGCTGCCAGTTCCTTCCTTCATGATCATAGGATATCATTTAAAAACAGGTTTTCAAACAGTGTATGTCTCTGTTATGTATAGTAGAAGATGCATATTATTTTTCAATTTCTTTATAGGCAGGGCACACATACAGCATTGAGAGCATTATAATAGTATATACTAATGCCATTTTCTCAGGTGGTCTGCACATCTTGCCCTAATTACTGAAGTTTAAAATCAAAGTGAATTAAAAGTAAAAATGTAAATGCAATTATAATGATTTCAGAGGCACGATGTAAGAGTCTGCCATCAGACAAAGTAGGGTGTAACTTGCGTTTTGATCAAAATTTTAGCAGTCAGTGATGTGCTTTCACTTAAAATTACTATTAAACCAAAAAACAGTGTTGTCATGGATTATAATGACCAGTGAAGGATCCTTACTGATGAGGATTAAAATCAGTGTGTTAATAAATGTGGATTTTTCTACAGGAGAAACACTTACATTTTTCCTGTTTTAAGTAAATGACTTAGAGTTTACTTAACTTGCCAGACAGCGTGTTCAGTCAGAGCGTTCATACCTTTTATTTTTTTTTTTAGCTGTCTATGATGTTGTGGAAGAGAAGCTGGAGAGCGAGCCTGACTTCCAATACATCCCTGAGAAATCTCCATTTGATGGTGTCCATCAGGATGATAATGCTCTGAGGGAATCCATGATTCAGCTAGCAGAGGGGCTTATCACTGGAACTGTTTTGGCTCAGTTTGATGTGAGTACTGTGTCGCCTGCAGCTGTGTGCAAGTTCCAAGTCTTTTGGGATAGTAATTATTTTAAGCAGAGCAGATTTCAATTGAATTTCAGTAGAGTCAGCATCTTTTAGCAAAATTGACTTAGGCTCTCAAAAGAAAGATAACCAAAAAAATTCAGTCCTGTATTGAAGCACTACATGTGTGAACTTAAGGCATAGAATAACACTAATACTAGTTTTTGTTGTTGTTTACTTACAACTTTTTATGGTTACCAGGGACCTATGCTAATAAAATACTTTCATAGAGTTGAAGACTGAAAGATGTATACCAAAATAAGTGTTCTGTACTCAGACCTTCATTCCATATCTAAGTTACTAAGTTCCTGTAGATACTGAATGGCAGCTGAGCTGTTGACATTTCATGGACAATCTCAATGAGGAAAAGTAAAATTACTAAAGGAAAATACAACCCTAAAGAGTTACAGCCATGACCTTAAGTGTTAATATAACACTGTCTTTTGTAAGTAGTTGATTTTTTTTATCCAAAAGAACAGCACACTTCTTACGCTGTTAGCCATAGTCTTTCGTTAGCACTAACTTGTGACTTAGTGATATTCCATCTTTAATGCAGGAGATCAAGTGACTTAAAGCAGACAGCAGTAGGTTTTTAAAACACAGCAGTGTAAATTCTGCAAGTTCCTCCCCAGATGGAGACCTAGCACTATATATTACAATTTACATTTATAAAATATATTTATAAACTATTCTTTAAGAACTTTGGTAAGATTTATATATAGAAAGATCTTTGTCGAAGTAATTTAACCTTAACCATACTTAACCTCCTTAACAATACTTTTTTAGTCTGCCAAACAGAGTCAATGTTTAAAAGTATTTGAAGTGCTTTTTATTGAACCTGGATCATTTCACTGACACTGTTTGCAGCACAAGAGTTGTTGCAGTGCATGTCTAAGGAACAAGAGTGTAGGAACTTCTCTGTCAAAGGAGATTTTGTGCCAGAAAAGCATGAGGTAGCCCAGGAATCACTCTACAGTTATTGAAATATGGAAGGACACTGGGGTGGGGACTTGAGAGGAAGTGAAACAACTGCAATGTAGGTAGATGCCTATATATAACATAATGTGCTTGCCTTAAATCAGTGTGGAATGTTAGTATCAGTCAATTCCCTTACCAGTATGCAATACTGACTTTTCTCTGGATCAATGTTCTTATGCAAGCTTGAAATTTAATGTTGAGTTTGTCTTTAAACAAATTGCGATGACATCTTGATTATTTTCAGTGATCCCACAGCATAACTGAATTTGTAGTGCTTTCTTTTGAAAATTATTTTCATGTGTGTCGAAGCTACCGTTGCTCAGTAGTTTGTTGTAAAACATTATCTCTAGGCAAGTAATATACTGATGGGTCTTTTGCATCTATTATGGTCTGACCACCGGTTTTGCCTTTTAGCAATTGTATAGGAAAAAGCCTGGAATGACAATGTCTTGTGCCAGATTACCTCAAAACATTTCCAAAAATAGATACAGAGACATTTCGCCTTGTAAGTATGTGTGTTTGTATATGTGTTCTAAAAGTATTGTACTGTGGTTAGTAAATAAGTAACATCTTTCTAAAAATTTTTTCAGATGATGCTACACGGGTTATTTTAAAAAGTAATGAAGATTACATCAATGCAAATTATATAAATGTGAGTAGTATTTTTCAAAAGAGCTTCTGACATTAAGTAATTTTGCAGCTTTTCAGTGAAGGTGATTTAAAAAAATAACATTTTCATAAATCTAGTTCAGACTAGAATGGCTGATTAACATATAGTCAGATGGTTTGAAATTTATGGTAGATATACTTACTTGCTAATGCTTTGTGGTAGGTGTTTTTATAAATGAAACCAAGAAAAAGAAAAAATGCTAAGAGAGGCTAGCTTGCTACCAGAGGAGTTAGTTCTTTAATCAGTAAGGTTTAATTTGCGACCACTTTCTTTTACATCTTTCTTTTCTTTTTTTTTTTTTTTCTTTTTCTTCATTGTCAGTAGTAACAAAATTACAGCTACCTACTTTTCCTTTCAGGAACAAAAAACAGAGATTAAATTAAATTCCAAGATCTGTGTTTTAAAAGCTAGTGTCAGAAACCCACAGAGCATGAAATGTTTGCACCTGAATTGTTTGCTAACTGGTCTATTTTTTTCTTGTTTCAACCATTCAACCATTGATCTTTATTATGGCAACTACCTAATTGTCAGTTAATATGTGAAGTGTACTTGGATCTTTGTAATAGTTTTGCATGTGAAAAACTTTGAAGAATTTTTATCTGTGCCATCCAATCCATATTTACTAACTTATAATAAATACAATTAATATAGTTGGTGCTTTTTAATGTATTGATTACTAAACACTAAATGTCTGATGCCTGACTTACATTTGCTGTAAGAATTAAAATAATCCTTTTGTCTTATCTTAGATGGAAATCCCTTCTTCCACAATAATAAACCAGTATATTGCTTGTCAAGGTCCATTACCGAACACTTGTCCTGATTTTTGGCAGATGACTTGGGAACAAGGCTCATCTATGGTTGTAATGTTAACGACTCAAGTTGAACGGGGCAGAGTAAGTAAAAGATTTTCTTAGATACTACTTGCATAATCTTCTAAAAATCTGTTGGTGATAACCTTTAAAGGATTGGAGGAATATACTATTATGACATATAATACGACTTCTTTTCATAAGGGCAGTGCATTCCTAGTACTGTTGCAATGATGACTCTTAAATCTGAAATCTTCTGATATTGTTAATGCAGCTAGTATTTAAGTTTTGTTGAGTTCTGAAATACAGGTCTTCACTTATTTCCAAAGATATTTTTAGTCTTTGGTTCTTTATTGTAAAGTAAAAAGCAACTAGAATTTACCTTCATAGGATTTTTTTTTTTTCTCTAAACTTCAAATGAAGGAACTCCCCAAGAGGTTTCATCAGTTTCTGTAGATTAGTTCTTTGATATTCAGAGAGATTAATTTTTTAAGGCAGCCTAACATAGCTTTGTAGTGTTAAGATCCTGTGTCTGGATGACTGTCTTTAAAAGAATCCTTGATAAGCTTGAAATCTAGAATTTTCATGAAATGTTCTCTGTGGCTATAAACATTTGTTTAATCATATGAAAGAAGCATTGTTCTTTAAGTCATTTCCATACAAAAAATGTGTTAAAGTAGAGTACTAGTAATAAAGTAATTAGGGTTATAAATGACTAAAAGTAATTGTGTATGGTGCTGTAAAAGCCCTTAGGTGTATTTTGTGGATTTTTGTTTTTTCTTTTATTTTGGGGGTGTTTTTTGAGCTATAGTTTCTCCTCAATAGCTTTGTTTATTATGCAACTTCATCCTTTGGAGACAGGCAAAACAATCTAGTCTGGTCATACACACAGCAGAACTCCAGAGTTGCTGGGTTTATAGTCTGGAGCATTCACAGTAGCACGGGCTGGTTGAGTGTGTGGACAGAAAGGACAGCGTGGAATAATAGTTTAGAGGAATTTCTCAACATTTCTTTTGAAGTTGGATGTATAGTAGGTTGTGGATGTTCTGATCAGCTCAAACTGCACCTCCGCTGTCTGTATATATTCTAACTTGTTAATAACTATATATTTGCTGGGAGGTCAGGCCACTAAATATAATTAAAATAATTGAAGGGGAGTTGCAGCAGTTTTAAACCATTTTTCAGTGACTCACTGTTAGCATGATGCTGCCTGCTCCCAGATAAACACAATTAGAGGGAATTTCAGTACAAGTGCCCTTTTAATTTGAGTTTTCTTTGCAGATCTGCTAATAACAGACTTGCAACAGCAGTTCTCTGAGGTTCCCCCACCCCTTCAATAACAGTATTTGTGGAGTTCTTTGGAGAGCTGCTTAATAATGAAATAAAAGGACTTATCTGTCTTATACCCATAGGCAGACTCCCTGCTCTAAAGCTGATCATGAGGCTACTGACATCACTATCCCACTGCATGCCGGGATGTCTCAGTGGAGCAGGAAGTCTGCAAATCTGGCTGCTCTTAAAGAATCGCCAGGTGGGTTGGAAAAACAAAAGTACACTTGAGCTGAAATGACCTCTGTAGTTAGGAGTTAAAGCAATATAGCTGAAAATCTTAGTGTTTGAAGTCTTCATTCATATTTGGTTACTTCATCAAGAGCCTTTGAAGTCCTCCATCTGCATCCCCTTAACTTCTGCTTTAGTTTAGCAACTTTTTGTTGCTTATCGTCTTTTTTTTAATTTGTTCTTTTCCCATATAAATGTGCTTTGAGAAGATTAGATTAGGATCTTGGAGGTCAGAAATGTTTATAAAGCAGCGTCTTTGTCACTCAAGTGTCAAGATGGAGTATTTATAGGTATACTTCTTTTTTGAATTGTAATGAAAGTCAAAGGCATCCCTCTTCAGTTAAACTAACCTCAAGAGCTGGTGCATGTGTCTCTGGAAAAGAGAACCAGGAAGTCTCTGTGATACCTTATTTTATAAACAATAATTAGGTAACACAGTCTATTTGGTAAGTAAATTAATAGTGATTACAAAAAGATCAAAATAGTCTTTAATGAGCAAAGGTATAAGGAACCTAGAGGGAACGAAAATAATACTCTGAATTTAAATATAGACATCTTTAAAAATGTGTTGACCTTAGGTTAAATGCCATCAGTACTGGCCAGAGCCATCAGGAAGCTCATCATATGGGAATTTCCAGATTACCTGCCATTCAGAAGAAGGAAATCCTGCTTATGTCTTTCGAGAAATGACATTGACTAATCTGGAGGTAAAATCATAATATATATTTTTAAGTATTAATCTGTAGAATCCTCACATGCTAGCTAAAACTTACTTAACCAGACTTTCTTTTCAACTTGATAGTATATCCACATAAATAGAACTGTTTATTTCTAGAGTAGGAGATCTTTAGAAAACGAGCTATATTGCCATATATACTTATCTATTATAAATTCTGCTCTTAGAAAGGTAACAAACCTTTCACTAGCAAAATATCACAAGGATTCAGTTTCTGTAATCATATTAATTGGTTTTAAATTATGTTAAAAATGTGTTATTTGTCCTAAAAGTCTTTACTGGTGTCTTTCATGCCCTGGACAAAGAAAGACAGTAATTAAAGAAGTTGAGAAACTTGTCATTCCCTTGATGTTTTCAAAACATGAGACACTAAAGGTATTTCTTTGTAGAGGCAAACAGTTGTTAATAATTCCATCTTGGAGAATATGTGCGAGTAGATGGAAGATAAATCTGGCTGAGAGAAAGATGAATTGGGATTTGTGACTGCATGTAAATGAAGACCTTCTTGAGCATGAATTGCATGATTTTCAGGGCACATGTAGTTTTCAGAACCTCCCCAGCTAGCATTTCAATCTCAGAAATGTTTGGAAATGAGAATCTGGAATTTAGTTCACGTACTGATTCCTCACTGCTTGGGTTATCAGATGAGATACCAGTTTTATAGAGCTCCCTTTTAGTCAGTTTGCAGTTAAAATTCCTTCCCTGTGTCCTTTTGAGACAAGTGCTCCTTTGTTACCAGCAGTGGAACCTCTGCAAATGATTCCATGCCTAAAGGTTATTTAAAGTACCATAACTCATGATACTTTTATGCTGATTATACAGTCTGTCCCTTCCACTAACCAGAAGCAGATTATGTTTCTGATATTAGAGCAAGGGGCAGGAGGGAGGGGAAAACAAGGTCATTCTGCATCTTATGTATAGCATGCTGGATAAAATTAAGAGGTGTAGGTAAAGCCAAAACAATGCTGCTGTTCACATGGGCTCTGAAGGAAAGCTTTTATGTCTCGAAGTCCCACATCTCACCTCCCTACCCCAGTTCTGTCATTTGATCTCGTAAGATGGTACCTCTTTCTGTTAGATTTGTTTTGCTAAAAATTTGACCACCTTCTTCATCTAGTATTCAGATAGATCATTGGTATCCTTAAGCTACTTTGATATTACATGCCATTTAATTTTTTTAATCTGTTGAAGATGTAAACTTTGAATTTTTTTTTTAATGCGACCTGAATTACCCTTGAATAAACTTCACATTTCTGATTAGAAAGAAGAAAGCCGCCAACTAACCCAAATCCAGTATATAGCGTGGCCTGATCATGGAGTTCCCGATGATTCCAGCGATTTCCTAGATTTTGTGTGTCTTGTGCGAAAGAAGAGGGCTGGCAGAGAAGAACCTGTTGTTGTTCATTGCAGGTATCCATTTTTTCACAAATTTATTAAATCATCAAACTGAATTTATTTATCATCAAATAGCTTTTCTGTGCTTTGTTGTTGAAGTAAATATTTAATTGTATCTACTTGTGGGGATTTCAGGAGAACTCAACATATAATTAAACAATTACTTGAAACTGTAATCGTATTTCAGTAAGCAAAATTTTGAGTATCTACATGCAATGATCTGTGCAAAGATTTTGTTGGTGGTGGTTTTTTTGTTTTGTTTTATTCACAGCTATGCTAACAGTCTGCATAATAATTCAGGGAAATGACAAAAGATAATTAGAAACCTTTTCGTCATGGTGACTGTTCTACAAAACTCCAGAATAGCTGCATAAATAATCTATAGCAGAAAACATGGGTGGTATATGCAATGATCAAGTAAAAGACACTTTCTCTCAAGTCTGCAGTCTTAAGCTATGTGATATTTTGAGATGACACATTTTTCTCAACAATTTACTTTTGTCATACATTGAAATAACTCTGTTAGTTTTTTATGTACACATGAAATGTGTTTTTTTGTTTTTCTTGTACAATAGTTCTTAATAGCATTCTACATTCCTATGGTAAATTTCAAAATCGTAATCCTTTAAAATACCTAATTAGTAAACTATAATAATGCATGATGCTAATTTTCTTCAAACAAATATCTGCTATATATCTTGGTGATCAGTTCTGTGAATAAAATTTGACTTCTAAATTCCCAAATACTCCCCAGACAGTTAGTGTTCCTGAGTTAGGTTTCAGAAAGAAGCTGAGAGGTTTAAGAGATAGTCTTTAAATCGATTTTTTTCTAATCTACAAGTAAACTAGACATTTATTGAAGAAGACAAAATAAAAATGTTTCCTCTTTTTAGCACTTTGTGTATGAACAGTTGTATTTAATTGGTTTTGCTCTGTCTTCTGCTTTATGCTGGTCAGGATGAATCTTATTAACTAGGGAAACCAGTACCAGAATGGCACTGTCTTAAATTATATTGTTCCACATCTTCCATTATTGCTGAACTTTTGGTTGATATGGTTGTGAACAAATAGTGAAACTATCAGCCAAATACAACTTTTACAATATAAACTGTGCAAGTCTGAAGAGACACTGAAACAACAACTTTGGAGAGTAGGAACAGTTTCATTCATCTCAATGAGGCATCAATTCAACTCCACACTGGTAATTTCAATACCAACTTTTGTAAGTTTTATGTTTCACAGAAGAAAAGAGAGGGAATATCACAGCTTAATATAATTTACTTAATTGGCCTAACTTGGTGGCTGTTGGGAGGTGTAACCAAATTCCACTACTGAGTCAAGCTGAAGGAGCCCAGGGCATCCTCCATATGATACGTGCACACTGTTTTTAATGTCTGTTTAGTAAAACAGGGCAAGGCAATAGTGCACCAAAATGGTGAAATTTGTTTTCAGAACTAAGCCGCCAGTGTGGAGAATCCAAGTAGCTAGTGGAGCAGAAAAGCAGACTTTTCTTTTATACAATAGTAGTTTAAAAACAAAACCAAAAAAATGGAGGGGTTGTAAAGCAACAAAAACCTTGGGAAATTGGAAAGGTTTTTGTTATGCTGAACTGCTTGAAACCCTTCTTTCCAAGCTTTTGTGCATGTGTCTGTTTTTATTTTTGATGCTCCTACTAGTTTAGATGAACAGTTTCTAATTCTTCTTTTAGATGAGATGGTGAGCCATCCATCCATCCTGTCCATGCCCTTCATGATTTTCATGTCCTGTCTGTGTTTCCCCTCCAGCAGTCAATGATTTTTTCCAGTCTGAAGAGTCCTCACCTGCCTGATATTTATCATATCTACTACACTTTCCATCAGTGTTGCCGCTTTCTGAATCTTTTGAAGTTGTAAAAGGAGTTATTAGGTTCTTTGACAGATACTGTTCCTGTTTGGATTTGATAAAGCATTCTGCATATAAATTCTATACGTATAAATTCTAGAAATATAAAATGGTATTGAATAATTTTATATAACCAGTACACTTACATCTTGTCATAAAATTCTCATGCGATCACTGAAATATATAGTAGCTTTAATGCCACCTTCTGGGCAAAGATTTAAGGTAGTAGTTTGGCCAGACTTCATTTGGAATTATTCTTAAAAATCAGAACAATTAAGTTTGAAAGTTTGGAACGTTTATATTAACTAATTTAGAAGAATACACTTTCATTTATTTACTGAAATACTAATTATATGATTTGAGATAATACTGGCATTCGAAAATATGGATTTGATCCCATATTCAAATATGGAGAAACATTGATTTTCTGTTTCAAAAGTGCAACATCATTTTCTTGTATAAGAAAAGTTTGAATTTGAAACTGATTATCAAGTTCAAGGTTAAATATTCAGTCTTTGAGAATTGCTCCTTGTGGCAAAGGGTATGTATATATAAAACAATGCAGATAAATCCTTAGATTTGTTTTATTTTTAAGCTAAAAATGATTTGTGTAAGTTCTCTTAACAGTTTTGCCATTCCGAGATGTATTGTTCTATTCCTTATTCTGAAATATGGATCACTTCAAGAACTTTAGCATGGTTTCATCGAATCAGCCCGACATTCCAGTAACTGTTATTCCAGTAATGGGCAAATTGACACAAAGTGCACAGTGTATGCCAGGTGTCTCTGTGTTTTGTTATCATCTACATATTAGTATTGTTTATAGTATGATCTGAATCAGTATCTGTTTGTGAATTCTGCTGAAGTGAATGGTTGGGTTAAGACAGTCCCTCTTCAAAGGCCTGACAGTTCTGCACTGACTGGTTTTTGCTCTGTTCAGGCAGGATGGAGACTTCCAGTGACACAGACACAATCTGTCTAATCCCTGCCCTAACGGTATGGGAATCATCGCGATCAGTTGCGAGAGTCCTTGAGAAAGAAGGTCTTTAAGTATGAACTATATTCCAGACACTCTGTTTCATTTTCCATTTTGGGTTTTTTGCTGTTTTTTTTCAGTGCTGGGATTGGACGGACAGGAGTTCTTATCACTATGGAGACAGCTATGTGTCTCATCGAGTGCAATCAGCCTGTTTATCCGTTAGATATTGTAAGAACCATGAGAGATCAAAGAGCCATGATGATCCAAACACCGGTGAGTATCATACTTGCTGTTCTGTGTTGCAGAAGAATAATTTCCTATTATCTAGTCATATCATTAGACAAATTTTTAGTATACTTGCTGTTGATCATATCATAAAGATGTCACCTTTAGCCAGTGTAGGTGTAGCCTTGGCTTCAGGCAGGAATAAATTGCTAAGGCTGTTGGAAAAGAACAGTTCTTTAAATTTCTACAAAGAAGCTTGAAAAAAGCAGCAGCTGTTTCATGAATACCCGGCAATTGATGTCAAAAAAGGCCAGTTTTCAGTAGTGTATAAATTATACAGTGGAGAAAGCAGGAGCCTAATTTGAGGTGTTAAGAATGGGAGTAGTATAAAAGGTAAGCACAGAAAGATCCAAGACATGCAAGAAAAACCTTCAGTGATGCCATTCAGTGATTTTATGTTGCCTTAGTTATAATGAAAACAAGCCTTACCTGCCCTGTAGTGACTTAATTAAAGGGAAATAGTAAGAGAAGTAATATTTTTTTAAATCAATGTAATTAAATGGGATGCAAGGTATATCAAAGTAATTTTAAGTGTATTTAGTCTAAAAAAAGTAACATGCTACCAGGATTCTTTTGGTGCTGTGTTCACACTTGATGTATGTTAAGATGCTAGAATTTTTCCTGGATCTAGAGTGTTTGGGTTTTTTTGAAATAATTGCAATGTTGCTTTAATTTGAGAGCAGTTTGTGTTTACATTTTTAGAAAATACCCAAAAAGTGTCAAAAGATTGAGATTGAGTTGTGTTGCCTTTCAGAAAAAAAAAAGAAAAAAAAAAAGAAAAGGACTTGGTTGTTCCAAGCTTTGACCAGTTCCAGGTTTATTTTTTTGAATCACTAATCAGTTTTATAGTTTTACTCATAGTATATAGTATTTAAAGAGAAAGTATTTTGAAAGAGAAAAGTCACTAGATGAGTATCAAATCTCTCTCAGAATTACCTAAAGATAGTTACTCATTGTAGTAATTTTAATGTCCCTGTTGCTGTTCCTCTAATCAAATTTTGATAAAGCTTTTGTGTTCTTTAGAGAGTACTCAAACTGACAAAAGGTATATATGGGCCTCCATTTCTAGGTCATGTATCATTCAGTGTTGCTGTCCAATATTCAGGTTCCACTAACAAAAAGTGTTACTCAGCTAGCACAGGAAGGATGAGGAAGATGATGATAAATGAAAAATAAAAAAGGATGGTTCTTGCTGTTTGTGATGACTGCACAGTATGAATAGTATGCATATGAATAGCATATCTCTCTAGCATACACAGAGAGGAAGAGAGTTTTATTAGTAAAGGTAGGAGGTACAGTGGTAAGGGTTTTAACTATTTTTTTTCATGGCATGTGCTAAATATCTTCTGGTCTCCTCATTTTTCTTGGAGAAACCAGAATTTTCAAGCTTCAGTGAAACGCGGGTGTTTCCTAAATCAGAGGGAGATGGCATAATAAAAAACTTGAAGGTTGTTTTTTTGGGGTTTTTTTTAAGACTTCAAGATTTTGAGGTTTTTAATTTCTGTAAGAATTTTTATAATTTCTCCTTTTGCCCTCTTCCTGATTTTGTGTAGCCTGAAAGATTCACTTAACGTCCACAAGATGGCCCTATGCATGGGTGTCTGCTTTGTGTGCTCCATGAGGAGAGTTCTGGGTCTCCTTCAGGGACCACTGAAGGCAAACTAAGTGTTTTACACAAATATGTCTAAATGTCACTATTTTTATATACATGCAACAATACAGTAAATAATGATTTATAGCTAAAACCGTTACTATGTCCATTTAAGATCTGACATCACTAATTACTGCATAGAGAGAGCTATTCCAAGAAACTGAAGAGGCAGGCAGGCTGGCTTTCTGACCAGCATATACACCGTTATGCAGTATTCAGTGTTAGTTGTGATGCTTTACAAAACAGTGATTTTACTTCAATTTATTTTCATTATATTATAATTGGATTATTGTTTGTTTTCTTAACTATTATTTGTTTAAAATGAAATATTAGTGGCCTCTATGTATGCAGGTGCTAGACTCGAGTAGATTGCGGAGTTTGACATTATATGATGTTGAGAAACTGGAGTTCTGGCTTTTTAAAACATGGAACTATTTTCTTTTTTATCAAATTCTGAGGGGAATGTGCTAATAACATGCCAGAATTAATGTAAGTATGAAAAAGAGCTTTGAAACTATAACTTCTAAATCAAAGTGCATGGAAACCTCAGGTCAGTGACACTTCAGTGATAAAATTAAGAGCAGAAACCACAGGTTTCATGTGTGTGACTTTTGGTATGTGTTTCACAGTGCTGTTCATCCCATTCTTCTGCTGAGAAACGAAGTGTTTTAATACAAAGTTCCTGTTGTTTTGTGTTTCCTAAACTAACTTGAAAGCACAGTTCTTGGCCTGTCAAGAGAATGGGATGGGGAAATCTTAGAGGCCTTTTCTGCTTCCCAATGACATGATTGTTATGTGTCTTTCCAATTTACTGAATCTACTTTCCTTTTCAGAGTCAATACAGATTTGTATGTGAAGCTATTTTGAAGGTGTATGAAGAAGGATTTATTAAACCTTCACAAGCATAAGTAAAGAGCAAAAAACCTAGGATCAGTTGGGGGGATCCTGTCCTCTATAATGAACTGGCAGCATTCTTTGTGCCATAATACTGCTTGCAGGAAACGATAGTGAAGTACAGCAAAGAATTGACAAAGGACTTTGAAAACTTCAGCACTGTTGCACTTTACGTTGAAACAAAATCAGTCTCTGAAACTCTTCTAACCTTCATCAATGTTTGAAGACTTTATTTTCGTGCTTTGCTCCGAACAACCCATAAACTCAAAGAACTAATTGTGTTCAGGGTAATCTACGATATTTCATTGTAGTGCCATATACTGTGCTTCTGGTTGAATTGCTACAAACAAGGCTTGGAATTATTTCACTCTGTTTTACACCCATGTCTCTTAAAATGAAAAACAAATGAAAAAATACACTAAGCCATGGTCTTTTTCCAGTGCTAGGTTTATTTACTATGTACAGACTCTCACTGTTTCATTTTTTACAACAGTAGCAATATTGCCGATACTAGATAGATACACACTGCCTACTGATGCAGCACACCTTGTCCTACACCTTTACTAGAGACCAGCTGGTTGTTAGAGGAAAGCTGGCGTCTGTGTTAACCCAGCAGTAGCTGCATAACGCCCACTTACCAGCATCTTGTACAAAATAATGATAACAATAAAATTTTTAAAAAATTAATTAATAAACAGCATTTCTTTGACACAGCTTGTGTGTCATACACTGGTGTATTCTGATTCATGTGACTTAAGATTACGTGATGGGAACTAGTGCATGCATTATGTCTTAACCCCTTAAGTGCCTTGGAACTTACAGCGTACATCCAGTGAAAGGCACTCATGATTCTGTGGGGGTGGTATTGTCCTGTCATATTTATCTTAATGGGTTCAGATTTTTAAAACAGCCCTTGGTGCTTGGAATGTGTTACTGCAAGGGGTCATGGAAATACCATTCCCTCTTTCCTTATACAAGTACCTGCGTGCTGCTCTCGGTGGCGACAGCACCTCTGCCAACGTAATGAATGAGTATTGTATGCTGCTGTGTTGTAATTATGTGAAAAACCTGACACATTCCTTCCAACTAGTAACTTACTAGCAGCTTACTATGAAATGCTGGTAGGTCATTAGAAGCTGATACTTTGTTCTGTCCTTTTATTGACAATAGCAGTCTTACGTGATTAGAACGTAACTCTTTAATAGCACAGATAATTAAGTTGAATTTACAATCAGATGTGAGTTAATTCCACTATCTGCTAACCAATTACTTTTTGAGTCTTCATAGTTGATTTCAAGCCATGTTCGTACAGGTCTGCCTTTTATTTTTATTTTATTTTATTTTATTTTTTTAGTTGTTTGGCAGGGGGGAGGGGGAAGGGAGGAGAACACTATGAAGTTTTCCTGGAACTTTATTTTAATTCCATAATGAGCCCAGTCACCTTCTGTTAATGCTTGTGTAAAATTGTTCCAGTTGGTATGGATTGCTTCTTATTTAAGTAGGTAGAAGATTTGTAAGAAATGTCTGTCTGATACAGTATCTGAGCTCATTCTAAAGATATATAAATGTCCCAGTTTTAAAATATTTTTCCAGTATAGGAGAAACCAAGTCAGAAGCAAGGTGTCCAGTGTAATGTACTGTAAGAAAAAAAATCAGTCACTTATTTGACTGCCCTGTGACAACATAACTTTGTGCCCTCTATTTAAAAGTTTTAATTTATTGTATTGGTTTCCTGAAAATGTTTATCCAGTAAGTTTTGTTGTAAGCTATATAGAGCATAGAATTGAGATGGAAAGTTCTATGTTAAATAATTTTTAACTATTGAAGAATTATATTATATAATATACTGTGTTCTATGGACATTGGAAAGAGATCAGCTATGAACTATTAAGTGAAAAGAGATTCAGGCGAAGTGAAATCCTGGCTTATGACTTAGTAATAAACATGAACCACAATGCCAAATGGAAGATAGAGTTTTAAATATTTTTAGAAATCAAAATAATATTAGGTGGCCTGTGGCCCTGTTACTTATATTTCTAGATTTGAAAAACGAATCTTACAAGAATCTCTGGATCTGATGACCTGAAAAACAGTAATAAGGTAGCTTTAATCTCAGTTTTATTTTAAGCCATTTGCAACAAAAGAAAATTCTTTAGGAAATTGTAAGCTTTAACTTCCATGTGACGAGATTATTAGCTGAGATACTGCCTAGTTTGAAGGTTATTTTAAACTCAGCACTTAATGTCTAAAATAATTCTCCTCCATTATATTGAAATAAATTTTCTTTATAGTCAAGTTATAAATGAAAATAACATTTGCCCTTTTTTTCTGAGGGAAATCAGAAATGGAGTTTATAGCAACGTTATATAGTGTCAGTATGTCACATATTTAAATATTCTTATGTAAAGTTGCCAAAGCAGTTTGAGTTCAAAAGACCCATTTATACCACAATTAAGTGTGGGATATTTATTCATCGTCTGTCATTACTGTTTTGATTACAAACACAGGCAAGAATAATAGATCTCTTCAAAATCTTCCTCTGCACTGACTTAAGCTGATCTGTAGTGTATTAGCTAGTTGCACTGGGAAAAAAAAATGGAACAAAGTAATTATTTGTAGATAATTGGCCCTCAGTGACTGGGTGGCTTTTTGGCTTCTCCAAAGCCAGGATAGTGGTAACTAAAAACTTATTGGGAAAAAGAATAGCGTTGGAGCCTTTCCGCACCATAAATCATTCATTCAAATGTTTCTACCTGTTGTGGTATAAATGGCCTTTAAAATATTTTTATATGGCCAAAAGAAGCAAAATTGCTAAATATTTTACTGTGGGTTATGAAGATCTGTATCATCCTTAAGAGTTTTTTAAAGAAGTTTTTGTATGTTTCATGCTGTACAAAACATGAATGTATCTTTCAGACATAATGACCTATAGACCTATATGTGATTGGTGTTATGACTGTTGGATTTTATGAATAATTATTTTCATACCATTTGATTAGGAAAAATGTTGGGTGGGTGTGGGAAAAAGTATGTTTGTAACAATTCCATGATACAAATCCAGTTAAAAAAAAAAAAGTCATTGTAAATAAGAGCAATATTATGACAATTTTGTGCCAATGTATAATGTTAAGACTTGTTTTCCTTTTAGGTTCAGATTGAAAACTACCACTACCATCTCTTGTTTAAAGTGGATTTGAAGGGGTCTTGGGGGGTTTTTTAAGTAAAAAGACATGGGGCTCTAGCTAGCTGGGGCTTTGAGTGTTTTGGGGCATTTTTTATTTTTGCTAAATATGAAATAAGATGCAGGTATTCTTTGAGAAACCACTTAAAGATTGTCAGCCAATCCACTTTGAGAAATACTACTTTAGAGATACCAGATAACTGAGAGGTGAAGAATTCATTTATCCTGAATTTGGAAGGATTTGGTATTTAAAATAATTTGAAAGTCTTAAGCAGTAAAATACTGCTTTTATGCATTTTATTTTTATATATTCTCTCTCAGTTGTGAAAAAGAAAGCCTGATTTTTATTTTTTTTTTTTCGCTCACTCCATTTAATGCTAGCTGATGTTTCTTCCACATTTCTCTGTTAAATCTTGAAAGCTTATGTCCCATATAGATAAAGCAATAACACTTCTTCTAGAATATCTGGTTACAGTCTGGCACACCATCTATTAGAGAAAGGATGAGAAAGCAGTTAGGAGATTAAGGAACATGAGGAGTTTGTTATGGAAACTGTGTGGCCAGCAACTTTCCATAGAGACCTTCCAAAAAGCTTTGTGGTACCCATGGAAGGGCCAAAATGCAGTGGATCTGCTGCAGTTGCGCTGCCCAGGGAGACGGGAAGTAGGGAAGGTCTGTCATAGAGATGCTGGAGCTCCAGACGTGCTGTCAAGTTGAATTATGTGGTATTTTTAAGCTTCTGCAGTGTGCGTGCATGTGTGTGGGCGATGTTTGATGGCTCAGGGAATCAGCATGAGCATGAAAAACTTACAGATCCACCAATTTCCAAGCGAAAGCAGGTTGTCCAATACATAATGCTGTAGTTTTGACTGTAGAGCTGCTGTGCAGGCAATCTTCAACACTCTCAGCCCTGAGGATAAAAGGAGGAGTTGGGTTATGGGCCAAACTAAAATTTTGCATATTTGGACTTCCACAAAGTACAGGAATGGTTCCCACTAGTGTCACTTGTAGTCTTTTTTGTAGCTCACATCTCAGGTTCCCCGTTGTCTGGGTGTATTTGCTAATTTAAGTACCCACCTTTTGTCTTGAGACTGGGAAAGCTCTTTTCCATGGCTACTTTTAGTGCTAGGATCCAATATAAAAATCTGGTAAAAACATACTCATTGATTAGGTGTGGATCTGGCATGAAATTGCAGGGATTATAATTAGTGGTGATTGGGAAGCTGTTACAAGGGGAAAATTGTTTGTTTGAGTATAACTGATCTGCCCAGTCTCTGTTATCTCACTGCAGTTATAAATTGAAACTTGATTTTTTTTTTTTTCTTTGTTTAGCAGTCTACAAAGGAGGCCAGTTTGTTTTCACTGGATTTTACTTCTCTGCTGGTTGCTACTATGAGTTTGCAGCTTTTCAGTTCGTAGGGCTTCCCCAGCTACAAGTTTGTAACTGGTAGGTAAGCTGTGCACTCTGGCTATTGGCTTTGGCATGATTTGCTCATTGAGAGCTCAATGGGAAAAAATTGGGATTTTTTTTTTTTTAAATGCTGAAATTTTCAATTAAAAAAATAAGGACTTATTGATTTCTTTGAACAATAGGCCTCATTTAAAAAAAAAAGCCACTAAAATATCTATCATTCTGGTCTGCTATAGCATGAACTGTGGTTTCACAGACTGACTGACAGTTTGTTGGTTGTGTTATTTCATATTTAGCAAGCTTACATATTTTAAAGGGTGATTTTTGTTTTCAACGTGTTTTGATGTTTGAATAGTAGCACTTTATCTCATGCTTACTACTGACTGAACTATTGGACAAAATAAACTGGGTTTGGAGAGAGATGCTTAATGGATTTCTGTACAGAGATGATTTGGATTACACCCTGGTACGAATGCTTTCTATTGTTCCAGCTATTTTGGGTTTATTGTGCAGGTGCTTCTGAGGGTCGTTCAGAAAATAGATACTAATAATTCTATCATCTCAATTTTCCTGTCTTAAGAAGAATATAAAGCTTGCATTTCTTAAAAAAAAAGGTAGGAAAAAAAGGTGCAAGTACTACAGGGTACTCGTAAATTTATCTCTGATCTCTCTCAGCTGAAAATTAGCTATGTTTACTGTAAATGTTTCTGCTAAGCATTATATTTAACATTAGATCAGTTACCTGGAAATCAGTATTTTTTTTTTTTTACTTAACTTATTTGAATTTTGATAACTAAAGATAATGCACAACGAAGTTTAAAGAAGTTGTCACCCTATTACTCCTAGGCCAGGGGCCTAAAACAGGAGTGAAAGGGTTAAGCAGTTTACATTAAGCTGTTGTTTTCTTTAACTAGAATATATCCACAAAGGCTAGACTATAAACAATCCAGTGCAATTATCTCAGTACATTGGGGCATCACAGTAACAACCCATAATAATCTTTCAGGAAAATTAAGGTAAGGAAATTAAGGTTTTATTTTATCCGGTGTATCCAGATTTGTT